CTCCCCCCCCCCCCCCCCCCCCCCCTCTGGTATGTACAGTAGCTATGTTCCAGGAGTTATATCAGTGATCAGTTGTTGAAAACCTACCTTCCATCATGAAGTCTGAGCCTGCGGCTTAAGTAACATAATCATACTTAAATATTACTTAATCACTGTCCATCTCATTGACACCCCTTATAACCTGTTAGTTAAGAGAGGATAATGATGGCAAATGTGGGGAAGGATGGACATTTTCGTGTGCAATTAGACCAGTGTGTCTTCAGCAGCAAGCTTGAAGACTGGTCAGACAGGAGCGATTTCAGACCGAAAATATTGGACAAACTTGGTTTTTCTTGGTACAACAGCATCTCATTCACTGGAGTTTCAGAACCCATCACTGAAAACTCGCCTCTCTACCAGGCCAGAGACAAATTTTATACTAGATATATATATATATAGATGCTGAGTTTCCAGCGTCTTCTGTGATCTCATTGTGATTTATGCTCAAATTTCTGTCTGAAACCTGTGCCAAAAGCAGCCCCTGTCTGAACTGACCCTGTCCATCAACCTCATTGCTACAAGTGACTTCACAAGACACCCAAGAAGAGAGAAATGGCTCTCATTTCCACCAGCCACAGTTTCCTTTCATTATATAACCATTATCACAGGTAGGGGATGATTTTAGAAATGCTTAATGGCACTGCACACTGCATACAAGAATACCGTTCACTGGACAAGAAGAGCCCAACAGGTGCAATAGTAACCACACAGGTCCATAGCTGCAGGGGGGGGGGGGACTGTTCGGTGGGGGTTCAAACAATCTGCCCTTTTTGTCGAGTGAAGTTCTACTCTGAGTAAAACTTTTTGAAGTACACAAAAGTTTCCTGGTACTACCTAAAAGGTCCACATTTTCAGACCCCCCCCCTTTGAAAATGCTGGCTAGTAACTGGCCTGATAACACTGGACAAGAGTGACCTGTCACTTGTTTAGCTTAGTTACCAGGGTGTAGTAGTTGTTGGGGGGGGGGGGGGTTAAAATGAATTTCCCTTTGGTTCATAAAAGGTCTGCTCTGAATCAAATTTTGATTTAGGTTCTAAAATTAGGTGAACTAAAGGGGTCGAGGGTCCAGTTTTTAGAAAAACCTTCACTAGTAAGTGAAATTGCTGCCCTTGTACTACTAGTATATATAAGACTATGCACAGTCAGTATACAGGCCTAATAACAAGCTGCAGATCCAAAAAACTCAAGACTGACTGTCAGCATGTATTTTACCACAGCCACTGAACTGACTTCTGAACTGTTTACTTACTTGGCTTACCAACTTTAAACAGCAGTTCTAACAGTAAACATGTGATGTGAGAAGCAGGAAGTGTGTTTGAAAAACATGCACTTTACCAGCAATGCAATGAGGATGCAAATACAGGAAACAATTGTGTGTATTCCATGTTGCTGAGTTAAACAGTCCCTTATATACTAGTATGTATAGCCCACTGAGTATACAACCCACTGGAAGAAATGGGAGAAAAAATGTCACTCTGTTACAGAACACCTGATAACTACATTTTTCTTGGCTGAAAGTTACTATACTTGATAACTAGTCTTGTACATTTTTCTTGGTTGACAATTACCTGACAACTTGTACATCTTTCTTGTTGAAAGTCAACTGGTATAATACATTTCAGTAGAACAACCCTGTAACTCAATCACCAGGGTTCAAACATTCACAGATTCATGGGGGTTCGAAACACTGTGGCATGTTTTCTATCTACTTACCAGAGAAAAAGCATGTAAACTCTTAGTCAACTGGTGCAATATGTCCCAACATAAACAAGAGTTGTATGTGTTTGAGTAGTGAGCAAATAAGATGGGTTCATGAGCGTGGTGTCAGATATTTATTACTGCTGCTCTGATTCAAACTCTACTGATATGTGAGGCCTGTGACTCATTTCAACTCCACACAGGAATAGCACTTATATAAATAAATGGACTGGAAAAACATTTAGGTCTATACAGCTGTTTTCTCCTTCTAATCTGTTTCTTTGTCTGTGTGTGATTTTCTGAATGAAAAATATCAAATTTACCCTACATTCAGTAATAAATTTGACTCTCCAGGTGTGGAGATAGAGAAAATGGGTACCACAGATTTCCAGTTCTATTCAATTTTTTTTTCCAAATTAAAAAAGGAAAAAAAAAAAAAAAAGAAAAAACATTTACCCTCTGTATGATGATAAATACTCTGAGTAAGTTAATACAGTAGCGCCACTTTACTACATCTTGTACAAGATTATCTAAGGACTTATTCAAGATGCCTTTATATAGAGTAACAAGAAACAGGCCTCTATATATATATATTTCACTTGCATGTCTACTTCTATCAACTTCACTTGCTTCCGTGTTATATGACTGAGGCAGGTACTGTGCAGACAAAATGGCAACAGATCTAGATTAAGATTACAGAAAATGAAAGCATGTCCATTCATTCCTTTACTTATTTATACAGTGGGTGATATAATTCATCACCTTGACATGTGGCTAGATCTGGCAGATAATGAGACAAGAATTCTCTCATTGAAGACTCATAATCATGCAATAACCATCTATGTGACAAAGACATTCTTCTCTGCCTTCATCATTGGTCTTTGCAAACCAAAAATAATATACTCCCTTGACTCAACCTTATGGTATCAGCAAACATGTATTAACAAAAGATTTACTCTATTAATAGTTGGTTATTGGTATTGTGTGTGTGTGTGTCCCCCACTACACTGCCATCTCTCTCTCTCTCTCTCTCTCTCTCTCTCTCTCTCTCTCTCACACACACACACACACACACACTCAAAGGATGACATACGTTGTCTTTGATGCAACCTGAAATGCATCTCTCTAAAACCTGCCACACCCCCTCTAAGCACAAATTCGACAGGCTTTTTTGGAAAGCGTCTACCAAGTTTACTTGCTCACTTCGGCTATAATATTTAATGTTTAAATGCCATATCTTATTAACACACATAAGCCATTACAGATGGAATATTCCCATCTCAAGTATTAAACTATTAGACTTGAAACGGCCTTTTTCTAAATCTAAGAATCTCTTTTTATTTGCTGTCCAGACAATATATTCTGTAAAGTTTAGAAGTGAAGCTGCCCTGTTGATATCATGCAATAGGCAACGTACGTTTACATTTCTTTCGTTGACCGAATAAGCCACTGAATAAGCCTAGAGATACAAGGTTAAGTTCAAGTATGCGAAGTGTGCGTACTTACTCATTAAACATTTTCTGATAATTCTGTATTTGCTTGCGGGTGAATTCCTTGAACTCCGTGTACGGGTTGAAAACTTTCGACTGGGAGGCTACTGCCGGCTCTTCTTCGCCTTCATTTATGTTCATTCGCCTTTCAAGCTTCTTTGCTAATTCATTTGATGCCATTTTGAAGTAATCACTGATACATTCAGCGGTAAAACTGGGACTGATCACCGGCTACGTGAACGCGCGTCTTCCTCGCGGAAGTGAAATGAGTCAATATGGCTGACGAGGGATTCCCTACCCACGTGACCTGGTGATGCGAGTTTTTTCATGAGATCAAAGGTCATCAAAATAATGGAAAGGAAAGGAAAATTAAAAATGAGAAAGTGATCTTCAACTCTAGTAAATAGCATTTGAATTTGAGGTAAACAAACTGGAGTGCCTTGTCTGCTCTTTTTTTGCTATATCTTTTGGTGTTCATGTAATTCATGAGGTAGGCCTACTCAGTATTTGCAGCATGACATGTAGGCCTACTGTACGACCAGTAGGCCTATAGGCCTACCGGTGTAATGTGACAGAATCCCCCGGCCATGATAGAATCCGCTTCCCATTCATTTGTACAGGTTAGCCTCGCCCTAGATATTGATTTTCTAATAGGACAGGCTAACCTTAACCATCGTAACTGTAGGGCAGACTTAATATATTGATACACGGACCATATCAGTTTCGTTATTTAAAACGGCAGTATAAGCTAGGAGATGTAATTAAAAAATGAAAGAAACGTAGATGAAAGGCTAGCGCTGTAGGCTAGAGAAAACTCATATTTACATATCCTTTCTGTTTCTCTAGGCCTACTTACCGTTATCATGATCAAACGTATTTATCAGTAAAACGGCCAACTGTTAAAGGAATGATAACTCTTCGTATGAGATCTACATGTATATTTCACAATAAAAACCTTGTGAATAACTCATAGAAATATAATATATTCTGTTTTACCACAAAAACAGCAGTTATAGCTTTTATTCTGATATTTGAACTTGTCTTTAGACCACGTGACCTCCACTGATGTCTATATATACTCTGTTAAAATCTCTTAAGAGATTTTAACAAAAAACCAAACTTTTTAGAAAAAAACCAGGGACTAACTTTGAATGTAAAAATGGATTCATTAACCATTGGTAAGTATGGGAAAATTGTTGTTTACTCCAGGAAAATTCATTTTTTGGCCGAAACGAAGAGTTATTATTGCTTTAAGCGAGGTACTACTGTAGATTTGGCAGCGTTCCACTACCAATTAAGGCTGTTAAACGTGGTCGATATAGACACTAAACATTTAAAATCGGAACTCCATTCAATTCTCAGGAAAGTGATAAGTTTTAACCTCAAATGTGCAGGGTGTCACTATCATTCGTGATTCCGAAACTTCCAAAAACTTTTTTGTTTTTAGGGCGGGGCCGTAGCAATAGTCCGAAGGTGCAATAGTCCGAAATTAAGGTTCATTGGTCCGAATGTTCACTATAGAACCTTTGGACCAATGAACCCTTGATTAAAAAATCGGCGAAAATGTTACCACTTTTCGGACCAATGAACCTTCGGAACAATGAACCTTCGGACTATCGAGACGCCCCCTTTAGGGTGACTGTAAAACAGAAATTCGAACTTCGCGCATGCGCCCGGTAACGTGGTTTGGCCGATTTTTCTTCTTAGTTCTTGACCTCAAAATGTAACGGCGTTGATTACGAGCGTATCCAAGTTAATGACAATTAGGCCCCTATTAGATTTGGTATACAGTATAGCGCTGGGAAACATGCCACACATTACACCTATCAGAAAACGATATGGCAGTTGTAAGGTGTGATATCACTGAAGGCACGTCAAGATATTTTAGATGAATTCTGTTCGGTTTTCAAAAACTGTGGACACCCCCCCNTTTAATTGTCGCGTTTTTTCAACCACGCACGAAGCCTATAATTCAAATATTTAATACATGTACATATCATTAACTTACATTTTCTAGTGAAACACTAAGGCATCTATCCGGAAATATTAACATTGTTTAAAGATCACTGGAGTTGTTATCTAGTTGTTTTTTTATAAATATTTTCTTAACGTGGCAGGGGCACGTTCGGCCACGTGTTGGAAATTTATTTCATGTTAAATTTCTTTAAAACGCAAGGTTTTCTTTACATTAAAACAATGTATTAAAAAAGGAAATTTAGCAGTCTATCTATTCAAAACACATCATTGAGATTCGTCGTCAAGCAGCTGTACTACAACCGATCAAAGGAAAAGGGGCCGAACTTGCCCCGGTCTCCCCTACATATAGGCCTACTGAAAATCCAGTTAACTTGAAAAAAAGCAGTCTATAGGCCTACATTGAATCTACAATAGGGCAACTGAGGCGAGAACCTATTTATATTTAATAAGGCGTTTGAGTTGAGGACCATGTGAGTGACGGATTTAGAGGGAGGGGGTCAGGGGGACCCTGACCCCCCTTAGATTCCTGGCCCTCTTTTGAAATTAGAATTTTGACTAGGTGAATCGTAGTTCTAAACCATACAAAATGGCACCGTTCGCCCTCTAAGTTACCAAACATTTTCGGGGCCCTTCAGAAGACCCCGAACTCCACGCCAAGTAGGGGGGACACCCCCTTCAAATAATACTGGATTCGCCCCTGCAGGCAACGCCACTTTCCGTTGTTTTCAGTTGCTTTGATAGTTCATAGTTCACTCAGTCATTGTGTTCCAACTACTAAGGGTGGTTACCTGAGTTTTTTTCTTCAGTGACAGCAAAAATATATAACAGGTATATATATTACACCCAGGTTGTGAGTGTTGACCATGCCTCTACTCAACGATATTCTTATCTTCAGCTACTACTGCTGCTACTGCGCAATCGTTCTTCTAGACTGGTTACTCCATGTCGTCCTGGGGCGTCGCTTTACTCCGCTCACAGAGGACAGCCTGCTCCGAGATCTGTCTCTTAACGACCGCCGTTTGCTGCTGTCCGACAATCTTACTGGGCGCTGGTGGTACCAGGGGTTCACTCAACTGTTGAAATGTTACCGTGAAGATGACACCTGCTCGGTGGCTGGGAGGATGAGGATAGAAATCAGATGGAAGGAAATAATAAAGAACAGACTTGCTATATCTAGGCGACTACCGACTGTGGACTTGACCAAGGTGAGTGTAGGGGAGACCCGGGCTAGTTGGACCCCGGAGTAAGTTTGCCCCTCGTCAATTTATTAAAAAGTAACTACGAGGTAAAAAAAAAATGGCCACGTACTCTTGTAAAGTGACCGTAGCCTACAATGCTGAGGAAGTGTCGGACGTTAAAATGTTTTACGTAAGCGGTGAGTTGAAATAAATAATTTTTGCACCTAAAAGTAATTTTGTTTAAGAGATTTAAAAATCTATTTTCATAGGCTTTTGATCGAATGTAATATATGTATAGAGCATCAAACTGAAGCTCATTGTTTCAAGTTTCACAGACATGTATCATCGTTGCTCATTCTAGCTCCACAAATGGCTGCCATCCTTTAAATAAAAAAGTGTGCACCCGGGGCTAGTTGGCCCCCTTGACTCGGGGCAAGTTGGATCCTCATATTAGCCACAAACCTTTGCGCGCAACAGAGCTAGAGACCATTGTTGAAACTACAGCTGTAACTCAATGGTTAAAAACTGAATTTGTTACTTTCTTTTAAATCGGAAAATTATTATTCGTTTTCATACATTAAAAACCTGCTTTATACCATTATTAATTTTTTATTTATTAAAACAAAACAGATTTTATTGATAGATATTTTGGTTCTTGCAACACATAGGCCTCCCCTACAACATGACGTACGGAAACCTCAATAAATCTGCCTCATTTGAACTATTTAATATTAATGATACTAGTAATAATAATTTCTTTGCTAAAACCGCAACCCAAAGGTTGAAGTTTTACAATGTATCATAAATAAAATTATAAGGTATTTAATAGTAAATAAAATTATAAACTAAAAGACCAAAGCTTTAAAACAAGCTGACCCTGAGATTTCTTGGATTCTTTTCTTTAAACAGATAGTCTAACTTATTGAAATTCTCGATTTTTGTAAAAAAGTTCTTAAATAAAACGTCTCTTCTCTCTCTCAGAGAGGTGAGATTACTAGCCTGTAGGGCATCCTTGTAAGTATAAAATGGGTAAATAATTCTAAGAGCTCTCCTTTGAACAGATTCTAAGCATTCACATTGTTCGGTTTTAGCAGATGGTTCAAGAACTTCTAGTATTTTGTGAGTCAGCTCTACTAGAGCGCGGGTACTATATATAGAGCTATTTTTGACTACTCCAAATTGGGACCTATCGATTTTCAGGCCACCTATTACCCATTTTGCCACAAATGACTCAACACTGGTGTAAGCAATATTGGTCTAAGTTCAGCCTGGATCACTTTTGGTTGGTTAACTTTTGGGGCAGGGATTACCTCTGCAGATTTCCAAGTGTAAGGTACATATATCTCTCTGATAGAGCTATTAAAATTGCGCACAAGGGCTTGGACAGGAAGCCTGTAAAATATCTGATGACCCAATTCGGAATTTGGTCAGGACCTATAGCTTTTGAGAGCTTAACATCAGAAAGAAGTTTTTCGACATCATTTACACTAATAGTAAATTCATCTGGTACTACATAGTTCTGGTGGACATTTTCAGCCGGTATAAGAGGTGTCAAATTGCTACTAACACTTTGAAAAAATTCATCGATCTTTTTTACTAGAACCTGGTAATTACCATTTGATGTGCTATCAGCAAGTGACTCTAATGAACATTTCTTGTTATTCAAACCTGCTAGCTCTTTCGATTTCTTTTACCAAGTGGGAGAGTCAGACTGTTTTAGTGATTCTATTTTGTTTTTGTAAAACGATGATTTCAGTTTCTTATTGGTTCTGTTAAGTTTGTTTTTGATGCTATGTGAGAGTTGGGTGTCTCCCTCTCTGAAGGCTTTCTGGCGCTGTTTGGTAAGATCCTTGAAGTCAGTGGTTATCCAGGGTTTGTCGGTAGTGTGTTTTGCGGATTCTTTTATTGGGAGGTACGTATCAAGGAGCTCATTCATTGTCTTTTCAAAGTATTGAAACTGCTAGGAACATGACTTCAGTTTAAAGAGTGGTGTCCAGTCAATTTTTGTAAGTTCTCCGGCAAAAAGAATTTTCTCATTTTTCCCTGATGTACGAGAGTAGGTCTTTTCCACTCTACCTCGGGGGATACGGTTGTAATTTTCTGGTAAGGACAGAACTGCATTGTGGTCAGAGGAGCCTATGGATGGTAAAATTTCGGGCTCTTTGAAGAATTGGTCTATGTTGGTGAATATTTTATCCAGTATGGTGTTTTTTCGTGTCCCCCTTCTCACTATTTGTCTCAGACTGAAAGTTCGTTTGATCTGTTGGTCTGGCAGTGTGTTAAAATCTCCGATCAAGAACAGTGCAGAAAATGGGTGTGCCCTCAGGATTGCATCAGAAGAGGATATGATTTGCTGGATCATAGGTTTATTTTCAGACCCTGATGGATGGTAGATTGCCCCCAAAATATATGTGAGAAGTTTCGAGGAAGCCTTATAGGCCTCAAAGTTATTCATCAAAGACTGTCAACAATCAATTTAATTAATCAGAAATGTATAAAAATGTACTTCGAGGCGTTTACATGGAATATTTACTTTATTTTTGTATAGGGGCCAACTTGCCCCATCTCTGGGGCCAACTTGCGATCTTGAAGCCCCCCGACGTCAACTGCGTTTTTTTTTTTTTTTTTTTTTTTTTTTTTTTTTTTTTTTTTTTTTTTTTTTTTTTTTTTTTTTTTTTTTTGTCAAATTGTGAGCCATCTGACATTATATTTGAAATATAATGACGTTGCGTACGTAGCTTAGTTCATGGGACTTACTTTGAAACCGGTTTTGTTACTCTAACTCATTCCTAGTTGGCTCTACAAGGCCAAAAGTGTCTAACTGGGCCAACTAGCCCCGGTCTCCCCTATAGAGTCTGATCAGCAAGCTATCATTTGTACCACTATACGAAGCTTCAAAATTGACCCAGAATTTAGATTGCATGATGCTGCATAAAGGTTTTTCATTACTCAATTGTTTTTTTTTTCTTTTTTTTAAATGTAAACCATGCACTTTATACTCGCGTTGCTTATTGAAATGCAATATTTTTCTGTCACTTAAACAGTAAATGCAATTTTGACAAGACACAATCACAATAACTTCAACATGTAATTGCCGTTTTTAGTGCCATATCAAGGAGCCTATTTTCATCATTGGGCCAACGCGTACGGGGACAACCTTTCTGCAGAGCTTGCTGTACCAGGACCCGCGGAACACTACACCACTCTTCTACGAGTTGATGTGCCCCGTGGAGGAGAACACAGACGCTGTGAACGCTGGGAAAGATCCACGTGTTCTCATGTTCAGTTTCTTTCTAGGTATAATATGATTGATGAATTTATTTTAATGCATGTTAACTACAAAAACCCAACAATTGATTCTGGTATTTCAAATCTTTGAGGATTGTTCTTTTATGGGCATTCAGTGGACCGTATTGACCGTCATTTGCTGACTTTGCAATTGCCGAGGCAATGGATTAATGGGATTACCATTTTTATGTTTTTGAGAACCATCTCTCAGGCTCTTTCTCTCTCTCTCTCTCTCTCTCTCTCTCTCTCTCACACACACACACACACACACACACACACGCAGAGAGAGAGAGAGACAGAGAGAGACAGAGACAGAGGGGATTGGAAAGAAAGAGAGTTCTCAAATTATTTTGTCATATATATACGTATATTTCAGAAGCCGCATACCGAGGTAAGCGACTGTTTAGAAACATTCACAACATCCAGGCCAAGAGTCCTCACGAGTGTGTCCCTTTGTTCGAAAATATGGGGATATCTAAGGCTTACCAAGGGATAAGCGGTAACAGTGGACCATACAGAGACTGGGTGCGCGCTCGAACCAAGGAAGAGATGGTGGAAGCCTATCGTTTCCATCGATTGCAACTTCAGCTTATTCTTTTAGCAAGAAGTAGGTGTAGGCATGTGGTCGTTATAGACATGATAAAAAGATTAACCTTTTTCGACTCTCTATTTCAAAACTTAGGATCAGAACATAATAGAACTTAGTAATCTCAAATTGCTCCCTTTTCTTTTGGATGTTTTTGATCGGATTCAGAACACCTGAGTAAAAGATCCGTGGATCAAATATGGCGACCCACTAAAAAACTTAATTCCCGATTAGACACTGAATAGATTCCCCGTGAGGATTACTTAACAAACACCCAAGGATCTGTTATTCTGTTGTTCTGAATGCGCCCTTTGTCGTATAATTATAAATAACTTTTTTGCATATTTATATTTATATTCATATATTTAATGTGATTATGAATTTTTTAGTTAAATCGTACTGAAAACGAATTTCAACATCAACATCTTTTATTAGACTCAGCAAGCAGTGACCAGCACGTCATTCTGAAAGATTCCATGCACGGGGTGTACCTGGACGCAATCCTGGCGGTGTATCCGGACGCAATGTTCATTCACACCTACCGCAATCCATGCAAATCGATCGCCTCCGTGTGCTCATTGGTGCAGCACTTCACTACTTGTGCCTACGACCTCAAAGATATAGGTAGGGGCTTGTCCTTAAACCTCATCTTACCTTTTTTAAATACACTAACTTTTGAAATACAGTATACTAACCTTTAAAATAATAATCTGTTGAGACTTTTTCTGACCTGTAAAATTAAAAAATTGTTTAAGTTTTTGTTGTTAATTTGTTTCATGATCCTGTCAATGTAAATAACGTATGGTTAAGTTGTATTGTCAAAGATTTCTGATTGCGTTTTAGTTGTCTGTGTTCATATTTTAGGAAGAGACGTCCTAGACGACCCCCTGTTTCACGCGGGGAACGAAATCCTAGAATTCAGAAAGAACCACCCTCATCAAGAACACAGATTCGTCGATATAGACTACGAACATCTTGTTAGAGCGCCCATAGATACAGTGAGACAGATTTATAATAAGTTTGGGCTCGATCTCAGCGAGCAAGCTGAAGCGAAGATGAAGGCGTATATAAAAGAAAATCCCCAAAATAAATATGGTCGTCACCATTACGACTTGGAGACGTACGGGTTGAAGGAGGAGGAAATATTTGAGAAATTTCGAGATTATATTGAATATTTTAACATTCAGTGCTAACTTCATAACAAAGTAATATAAACTTCTGAAATGTCTTTATTAGAAACATTTCAGAAAAATAACACTGAATTCGAAAAAACTGAGAAAAGCATCGAACTATAAGATTGCACATAATAGTTCACAATGGCGAGATTATGCGTTGGCATTAGATCAAGTCATTAGATCAAGTCCTGGAGTAGGGTGCCTATACGACCTACCATAGGCATAACTGACCCAGTATGTACCTATACCAGCTATTTAAAGATGTTTCCTAAAAATTCTAGTATTACCAGAACTATTGTCAAAGCTATAAATTCTTGAAAGGCACATAACAGTTGAAAAATCTATATAAAGACTAAATGTCGGTTAAAATCCCTCTGCGGTGTACTATTATTTATCTCCTAGGCTGAAATAGCAAAGAAAAGGTACAACATGCTCTAAGTCGAAAAACACGACATGGGCTGTGTTAGTTGGGACAAACATTTACAAGAAGGGGGCCTACTCTCTGTGCAGAGTCGCCAGATATAATCTTTTGTTTTTTTCAACCGATCAGTGTAGGGTAGGGTAAATAATAACTTTTTATTTATTTATTTATTTATTTATTTATTTATTTTTTTTTTTTTTTGGGGGGGGGGAGGGTATATCTCAAGGAACAGGTGCCTTTAGAGGCGAAATGGGCCAAAAAGTTGATTTCTGGTGAGATATTTGAGCTAGGGGCATTCTTTAGGTCGGTAATTACACTACTATATTTGGAAACGCATACAAAGCATGTGTAGTATATATACAGTAACTGTAGTAGCTATATGCATGTACATACCCGTATTGAATAGGGTTAGGTGAAGCACAAATTTGATAAGTAAGTGTTTTCTATGGCAGAAAATTATGTTAAATACACATGTGCATTTTTTTTTTCACAACAGCCATTGAGGTTGGTTAAATGATGATTTTCAAAATGGCACTAATGGAATTATAGCGGCCATCTTGGATTTGGTGGCCATAATGCCAAAAGTGAGTTTCTTCTTCATAATTTAGTCCAGTATCGATGGTTAATATGAAAAGAAATGGATTGAGACATATTCGAAAGAGAATTGTCAATATCCATGGTTTTGAAGCTTTCACGAACAAATATCTTGAAAATTACTCAAAACACCTCCCTTCAAATCATTTCTATCACCAAAGCAATATCAAAAGACTTTTTCACTACTAAAATAGTAAGAATGGATATATTACACGTATATGTAAGTCAAACGCTTCAAAAATCAACATAAAAAAGCAAAAGCACTTTCAAAATGGTGGATGGCGGCCATCTTGGATTTGAGGTGCAAAATGGCCGCCAGTTGTTTCCAAAATGTCAAAAAATGGGTTCCTTGCCCCTAATTTAGTAAGGTTTGATATTCTATACATGTTTATAGGCAAAAAAAGGATGGAAATTTATGTTATATCATAGTTTGGTAACCAATTTGCATAATTTATGCGGATGAAAAAATTAATTTGCCCCAAGGAATATTCATTGTACTATAAAATGCAGCGTTTGACCCCTTAACAAGCCTACTAGATTTTCTTCTTCTTAGTTCTTGACTTCAAAATGTAACGCCATTGATTTCAAAGCACATTTAAATTTGACACAGTACGGCTTACATTGTGGAAATGTCCTCACTAATACACCTGTTGACAGAGCAAGTCGACGCTGTCATGGCCTGATCACGAGCGTATCCAAGTTAATGACACTTATTAGATTTGGTAGCGCTGAGAAACCTTAACGGAAACACGTCACACATTACACCCATAAGAAAAATATATGGCAGATGTACGGTGTGTCATCAGTGGAGGCATGTCAAGACATTTTAGATAAATTCTGTTCGGTTTTCAAAAAAAGTGCCCCCCCCCCCCCCCTGGTCGCCTTGGTGTCATCCCTGGTGCATTCAAACTAAACCAATTCTTGAAGTACTCCTTCCAATATATTATAGCAACCCTCCACCTACATGTTTACACACGGGTGCACACACACACACACACACACACACACACACACACACCGAACACAATTATGGTCAGAATCTATATGAATTACGAGCTGCAGTAAGGTTTGGTATACACGTATTGAAAATCCACTAAACTTGAAAAAAGAAGTCTATACAGTGAATCTACAATAGGGCAACTGAGGCGAAAGCCTATTTATATTAAATAGGGCGTTTGAGGTAAGAAGCCAGGTGAGGCAGCGCTATTTTCCTTTGTTTTCAGTTGCTTTGATAGTTCATAGTTTACTCAGTCGTCGTGTTCCAACTAGCAAGGGCGGTTACCTGAATTTTCTTTTTTTCAGTGACAACAAAATATATAACAGGTATATTACACCCAGGTCTGTGACCATAGTGAGTGTTGACTATGTCACTACTGAGCGATTTTCTTATCTTCTGCTACTACTGCTGCTACTGTGCCATCATTCTTCTCGACTGGTTACTCCATGTCGTCCTGGGACGTCGCTTTACGCCGCTCACAGAGGACAGTCTGCTCCGAGATCTGTCTCTTAACGACCGGCGTCTCCTGCTGTCCGACAGTCTTACTGGGCGCTGGTGGTACCAGGGGTTCACTCATCTGTTGAAATGTTACCGTGAAGATGACACCTGCTCGGTGGACGGGAGGATGGGAATAGAAAGGAGATTGAAGGAGATATTAAATAACAGACTTGCTATATCTAGACGACTACCGACTGTGGATTTGACCAAGGTGAGTGTATAGTCTGACACTGCCACTCGTACCACTATACGAAGTTTCAAAATTGACCCAAAACGTAGCACGATGCTGCATAAAAGTTTTTCATGACTCGTTGTTTTTTATGTAAACCATGCACTTTATACTCGTGTCGCTTATTGAAATGCAATAAATTCTGTCACTTAAACAGTAAAAGGAATATTGACAAGACACAAGCACAATAACTTAAATCCGCAATTAATAGCAATTCAACCGCTTAAGAGGTCAACATGTACATTGCCGTTTTAAGTGCCCTATCAAGGAGCCTATTTTCATCATTGGGCCAATGCGGACGGGGACAACGTACCTGCAGAACTTGTTGTACCAGGACCCTCGGAACACTTCGCCACTCTTCTACGAGTTGATGTGCCCCGTAGAGGAGAACACAGACGCAGTGAACGCTGGGAAAGATCCGCGTGTTCTCATGTTTAGTTTCTTTTTAGGTATATAATTGTTGTATTTATTTAAATAATTATAACCTCAAAAACCAACATATGTTTTTGGTATTTCAAATACAGTACTTGAGGATTGTTCTTTTATGGGCGTTCCGTGGACCGTATGGACCGTAATAACTTGTGAGTCATTTGCTGATTTTGCCGAGGTAAAAGATAGAAAGTGAGAGAGAGAGAGAGAGAGAGAGAGTAAAGAGAGAGTTCTCAATTATATTTTATATACATACTGTATATACATATTTCAGATGTCGCATTACGAGGTAAACGAATGTTTAGAAACATTCACAATGTCCAGGCCAAGAGTCCTCACGAGTGTTTCCATTTGTTCGACAATATGGGGATATTTAAGTTTTACCAAGGGGTGATCGGTAACACTGGTCCATACAGAGACTGGGTGCGCGCTCGAACCAAGGAAGAGATGGTGGAAGCCTATCGTTTCCATCGTTTGCAACTTCAGCTTATTCTTTTAGCAAGAAGTAAGTGTAGGAATGTGGTCGTTATAGATATAATAAAAGGATTTGCCTTTTTCGCCTCTCCATTTCAAAATTAAGGGTCAGAACTTAATCATCTCAAAATGTTTCCTTTCCTTTGGTTCTTTATGATGGCATTCAGAACAGCGAACTAACAGATCCGCGGATCAAATATGGCGACCCACTAAAAAGCTTGCCGCTTGATTCCTGGTTAGACACTGAATAGATTCTAAAAAGCTTGCCGCTTGATTCCTGGTTAGACACTGAATAGATTCTAAAAAGCTTGCCACTTGATTCCTGATTAGACTCTGAATAGATTCCCCGTTACATGGGAATAACTCAACAAACATCCAAGTGGGTCAGCCATATTTGATCCGCGGATCTGTTAGTTCGCTGTTCTGATTGCTCTTTTTGTCGCTTTATTATAAAGAAATTTTATGGCTATTTATATTTATATTTATATTACTATATATTTATATATTAAAATTTATTTTGATTTTTAGGAAAATTGCATTGAAAACGAATTTTAACATCAACATCTTTTATTAGACTCAGCAAGCCATGGCCAACACGTCATTCTGAAAGATTCCATGCACGGGGTGTACCTGGACGCAATCCTGGCGGTGTATCCGGACGCAATGTTCATCCACACCTGCCGCAATCCATGCAAATCGCTCGCCTCCGTGTGCTCATTGTTTCAGCACCTCACCACTTGTGTCTACGACCCCAAAGATATAGGTAGGGGCTTGTCCTTAAACCTCTTCTTAACTTTTTGAAATATACTAACCTTTGAAATAATAATCTGATGAGGTTTTTCTGACCTGTAAAATAAAAAAAAATGTTAAAATTTTTGTTGTTAATTTATTTCATGATCCTGTCAATGTAAATAACTTTTGGTTAAGTTGTATTGTCAATGATTTCTGATTGCGTTTTAGTTGTCTGTGTTCATATTTTAGGAAGAGACGTCCTAGACGACCCCCTATTTCACGCGGGGAACGAAATCCTAGAATTCAGAAAGAACCACCCTGATCAAGAACACAGATTCGTCGATATAGACTACGAACATCTTGTTAGAGCGCCCATAGATACAGTGAGACAGATTTATGATAAATTTGGGCTCGATCTCAGCGAAGAAGCTGAAGCAATGATAAAGGAGTATATAAAAGAAAATCCCCAAAATAAATATGGTCGTCACCATTACGACTTGGAGCCGTACGGGTTGAAGGAGGAGGAAATATTTGAAAAATTTCGAGATTATATTGAATATTTTAACATTCAGTGCTAACTTCATAACGGAATAATATAAACTATTGATATGTCTTAATTAGAAACATTTAGAAAAATAACACTGAATTCCAAAAAACTGAGAAAAGCATCGAACTATAAGATTGCACATAATAGTTCACAATGGCGAGAAAATGCGTTGACATTAGATCAAGTCCTGGAATAGGGTGCCCGTACGACCTACCATAGGCATAACTGACCCAGTATGTGCCTGTACCAGATATTTAAAGATGTTTCTTAAAAATTCTAATATTACCAGAATTATTGTCAAAGCTTAAGTCTTTTTAAAAGACATATAACGGTTGAACAATTGATTAAAAGACTAAATTGTCAGGGGAGTCCTGACCCCCCCCCCCCCCCACCCCCCGTTCAAATAATCCTGGATCCGCCCCTGTATATGGCAGTTGTAAGGTGTGTTATCAGTGTAGGAATGTCAAAATACTACTCCTTCCACTATATTTTAACAACCCTCCACCTTCATCCACCTATACAAACGGGTGCACGCACGCAGACACATCTATAAAAGATCCCTAAGCATATGCAAATCAATTACGTAAGATATAAAATACATGCCGTAGTATGGGAGGCACGTATTGAAAAACCGGTTCACTGAAAAAACAGTAGTCTGTAGGACAACAGTGGCGAGAGCTTATAATATTAAATAGGGCGTTTGAGGTAAGAAGCCAGGTGACACAGCGCTATTTTCCGTTCCTTTCAGTTGCTTTGATAGTTCATAGTTCACTCAGTCGACGTGTTCCAACTAGTAAGGGCGGTTACCTGAGTTTTTTTCTTCAGTGACAGCAAAAATATATAACAGGTATATGACACCCAGGTTTGTGACCATAGTGAGTGTTGACTATGTCACTACTGAGCGATATTTCTATCTTCTGCTACAACTGCTGCTACTGCGCCATTGTTCTTCTCGACTGTTTACTTCGTGTCGCACTTGGGCGTCGCTTTACGCCGCTCACAGAAGACAGCCTGCTCCGTGATCTGTCTCTTAACGACCGACGTCTGCTGTTCTCTGACAATCTTACTGGGCGCTGGTGGTACCAGGGGTTCACTCAACTGTTGAAATGTTACCGTGAAGATGCCACCTGCTCGGTGGACGGGAGGATGGGAATAGAAAGGAGATTGAAAGAAATATTAAATAACAGACTTGCTATATCAAGACGACTACCGAATGTGGATTTGACCAAGGTGAGTGTATAGAGTCTGATGCTGCCACTCGTACCATTATACGAAGTTTCAAAATTGACCCAAAACTTAGCACGATCCTGCAAAAAAGTTTTTCATGACTCATTGTTTTTTATGTAAACCATGCACTTTATACTCGTGTCGCTTATTGAAATGCAATAAATTCTGTCACTTAAACAGTAAAAGGAATATTGACAAGACACAAGCACAATAACTTAAATCCGCAATTAATAGCAATTCAACCGCTTAAGAGGTCAACATGTACATTGCTGTTTTAAGTGCCCTATCAAGGAGCCTATTTTCATCATTGGGCCAATGCGGACGGGGACAACGTACCTGCAGAACTTGCTGTACCAGGACCCGCGAAACACTTCGCCACTCTTCTACGAGTTGATGTGCCCCGTGGAGGAGAACACAGATGCAGTGAACGCTGGGAAAGATCCGCGTGTTCTCATGTTTAGTTTCTTTTTAGGTATATAATTGTTGTATTTATTTAAATGATTATAACTTTAAAAACCCAACCTTTGTTTTTGGTATTTCAAATACAGTACTTGAGGATTGTTCTTTTATGGGCGTTCCGAGGACCGTATGGTCCGTAATAACCTTTGAGTCATTTGCTGACTTTGCCGAGGCAATAGATTCATGGGATTACCAGTTTTATGTTTTTGAGAACCATCTCTCAGGCTCTCTCTCTCTCACTCTCTCTCTCTCTCTCTCTCACACACACACACACACACACAAACAGGCGCAGAGTAAGAAAGAGAGAGTAAAGAGAGAGAGTTCTCAAATTTTTTTTATATACATACTGTATTATATTATATACATATTTCAGATGTCGCATTACGAGGTAAACGAATGTTTAAAAACATTCACAACGTCCAGGCCAAGAGTCCTCACGAGTGTTTCCATTTGTTCAACAATATGGGGATATTTAAGTTTTACCAAGGGGTGATCGGTAACACTGGGCCATATAGAGACTGGGTGCGCGCTCGAACCAAGGAAGAGATGGTGGAAGCCTATCGTTTCCATCGATTGCAACTTCAGCTTATTCTTTTAGCAAGAAGTAGGTGTAGGAATGTGGTCGCTATAGACATAATAAAAGGATTCACCTTTTTCGCCTATCCATTCAAAATTTAAGATCAGAACTTAATCATCTCAAAATGTTATCTTTCCTTTGGTTGTTTTTGATGGCATTCAGAACAGCGAACTAACAGATCCGCGGATCAAATATGGCGACCCACTAAAAAGCCTCCCGCTTGATTCCTGATTAGACACTGAATAGATTCTAAAAAGCTTCCCGCTTGATTCCTGATAAGACACTGAATAGATTCTAAAAAGCTTGCCGCTTGATTCCTGGTTAGACACTGAATAGATTCCCCATGGGATTTCTCAACAAACATTTAAATGGGTCGGCCATAATTGGTCCGCGGATCTGTTAGTTTTCTGTTCTGATTGTGCTCTTCGTCGCTTTATTATAAAGAAATTTTATGCATATTTATATTTATATTACTTTATGTTTATATATTTATTTATTATTTCTTTTGATTTTTAGGAAAATCGCATTGAAAACGAATTTTAACATCATCATCTTTTATTAGATTCAGCAAGCCATGACCAGCACGTCATTCTGAAAGATTCCATGCATGGGCTGTACCTGGACGCAATCCTGGCGGTGTATCCGGACGCAATGTTCATTCACACCTACCGCAATCCATGCAAATCACTCGCATCCGTTTGCTCGTTGTTTCAGCACCACACCACTTGTGCCTACGACCCCAAAGATATAGGTAGGGGTGTGTCCTTAAACCTCTTCTTAACTTTTTGAAATATACTAACCTTTGAAATAATAATCTGATGAGATTTTTTTTGAAAGTTGTAAAATTTTTGTTTATTTGTTTCATGATCCTATCCGTAAATAACGTTTGGTTAAGTTGTATTGTTAATGATTTCTGATTGTTTTTTAGTTGTCCATGTTCAAATTTTAGGAAGAGACGTCCTAGACGACCCCCTGTTACACGCGGGGAACGAAATCCTAGAATTCAGAAAGAACCACCCTCATCAAGAACACAGATTCGTCGATATAGACTACGAACATCTTGTGAGAGCGCCCATAGATACAGTGAGACAGATTTATGATAAGTTTGGGCTCGATCTCAGCGAGCAAGCTGAAGCGAAGATGAAGGAGTATATAAAAGAAAATCCCCAAAATAAATATGGTCGTCACCATTACGACCTGGAGCCGTACGGATTGAAGGAGGAGGAAATATTTGAGAAATTTCGAGATTATATTGAAAATTTTAACATTCAGTGCTAACTTCATAACGGAATAATATAAACTATTGATATGTCTTAATTAGAAAAATTTAGAAAAATAACACTGAATTCCAAAAAACTGAGAAAAGCATCGAACTATAAGATTGCACATAATAGTTCACAATGTCGAGTCATGGTGCCTATACGACCTACATTTGTACCATAGGCATACCTGATCCAGTATGTACCTATACCAGCTATATAAAGATGTTCGGAAAAATTTTAGTATTACCAGAATTATTGTCAAAGCTAAAGTCTTTTTAAAAGACATATTACGGTTGAAAAATTGATTAAAATACTAAATTGTCAGGGGGAGTCCTGACCCACCCCACCTTCGGTTTCTGGAAAATAAATCACACCAATATTCCACTCTAGATATTATAATTTTCAAGAGCTGAATCATAGTTCTAAACGGCACCAAATGGCACTGTTTGCCCTGCAAAACACCGAACCCCACACCAAAGGGGCAAGGGTCGGATTCGCATCCCAGCCCATTTCGTTCTTAAAAAACTGCCCCCCCCTCCCCCCCGTTCAAATAATCCTAGATCCACCAGTGTATATGGCACTTGTAAGGTGTTTTATCAGATTAGGCATGTCGACATACTGCTCCTTCCAATATATTTTAACAACCCTCAGGGTGGGAGTTCGGAGTGTTCGAAAGAACCGCCCCTTTTGGTGGGAAAAGGTCCACTCTGGGTAAAATTTGATCTAGGATCATGAAGTTTTTATTGAAAAAGGTCCACTTTTTCAGAAAAAGAACCCCCTTTTGAAATTGCTGGCTACGGGCCTGACCCTCCACCTCCATACACCTATACACACGGGTGCACGCAAGCAGACGCATTTATAAAAGAACCCTTATAACCATATGCAGATCTATTACGTAAGATATAAAATACAACCCGCAGTATAGTAGACACGTATTGAAAAACCGGGTCACTGAAAAAACTGTAGTCTATACAAGTTTGTAGGAAAACAGACACGAGAGATTATAAATGTTAAATAGGGCGTCTGAGGTAGGAAGCCAGGTTAGGCAGCGCTATTTTCCGTTGCGTTCGGTTGCCTTCATAGTTCATAGTTCACTCAGTTGTCGAGTTCCAACTAGTAAGGACAGTTACCTGAGTTTTTTCTTCAGTGAAAGCAAAAATATATAACAGGTATGTTACACCCAGGTTTGTGACCATAGTGAGTGTTAATTATGCCACTACTGAGCGATATTCTAATCTTCTGTCGCTACTGCACCATCGTTCTTCTCGACTGGTTACTCCGCGTCGTCCTGGGGCGTCGCTTTACGCCGCTCACAGAGGACAGCCTGCTCCAAGATCTGTCTCTAAACGAACGGCGTCTCCTGCTGTCCGACAATCTTACTGGGCGCTGGTGGTACCAGGGGTTCACTCAACTGTTGAAATGTTACCGTGAAGATGACACCTGCTCGGTGGATGGGAGGATGGGGATAGAAAGGAGATGGAAGGAGATATTAAAGAACAGACTTGCTATATCAAGACGACTTCCGAATGTGGATTTGACCAAGGTAAGTGTATAAGGTATGTTCAGGAAGCTCCTACTCGTACCATAATATGAAGCTTCAAAATTGACCCAGAACTTAGTCAGCCCGATGCTGCATAAAGGTTTTTCGTTACACATTGTTTTTTATGTACAGACACAAATGTGTCTGTACATATAGCTGTCACCTGCGTCTGTCGTCGCCGTCGCCATGTACTTTTACTGATAACACGATAAGTGGAAAATCGTTTATTCTTTTGGCTTGAAAATTACAGAACTGATGAATATTCATAATATGCAGGTCAAGTTCGAAAATCAGCATGATCGGGCCATTTGTATGGGAGTTATGCTGTTTTTTCACTTCTTTCAGCATATAAGCAACACCCATAACACAATAAGTGAAAAACAGTGTCTTCTTATTCCCTAACTCTTTTCTGCTTTTTGTCTGTACATTTGACAGCTTTGCTGCCTTGTTTATGTAAACCATGCACTTTATGCTCTTGTTGCTTATTGAAGTGCAATCTTTTTCTGTCAGTTAAACAGCAATTTATAGCAACTCAACCGCTTAAGATTTCAACATGTACATTGCCGTTTTTAAGTACCCTATCAAGGAGCCTATTTTCATCATTGGGCCAATGCGGACGGGGACAACGTTTCTTCAGAATTTGCTGTACCAGGACCCGCGGAACACTTCGCCACTCTTCTACGAGTTGATGTGCCCCGTGGAGGAGAACACAGCCGCTGTGAACGCTGGGAAAGATCTGCATGTTCTCTTTTACAATTCCTTACTAGGTATTTAATTGATGTATTTATTTTTGTAAGTAGAAACTACAACAACCCATCAGTTGTTTTCGGTATTTCAAATCTTTGAGGATTGTTCTTTTATGAGCGTTCAGTGGGCCGTATGGACCGTAATAAGGAGTGAGTCATTTGCTGACTTTGCCGAGGCAATGGATTCATGGAATTACCAGATTTATGTTTTTGAGAACCATCTCTCAGGCTCTCTCACAGACACACTCACGTGTGCGCGTGCGCGCGCGCACACACACACACACACACACACACACACACACGCAGAGAGAGTGAAAAAGAGAGAGAGGGGGTAGAGGGGAACGAAATAGAGTTCTCAAATTATTTTGTAATAAATATGCGTATATTTCAGATGCCGCGTACCGAGTTAAGCGACTGCGTAAAAACATTCACAATGTCCAGGCCAAGAGTCCTCACGAGTGTTTCCATTTGTTCGACAATATGGGGATATTTAAGTTTTACCAAGGGTTGATCGGTAACACTGGTCCATACAGAGACTGGGTGCGCGCTCGAACCAAGGAAGAGATGGTGGAAGTCTATCGTTTTCATCGATTGCAACTTCAGCTTATTCTTTTAGCAAGAAGTAGGTTTAGGAATGTGGTCGTTATAGACATGATTAAAGGATTCACCTTTTCAGCCCTCCATTTCAAAAATTATGGTCAGAACATAATAGAATTAAACATCTCAAAATGTTTCCTTTTCCTTTGGTTGTTTTTGGGCGCATTCAGAACACCTGACTAACAGATCCGTGGATTAAATATATGGCGACCCACTAAAAAACTTAATTCCCGATTAGACGCTGAATAGATTCTCCGTGAGGATTACTTAACAAATATTCTAGTGGGTAGCCACAATTGATCCAAGGATACGTTATTCCGTTGTTCTGAATGCGCCCTTTGTCGTATTATTATAAATAACTTTTGTACGTAGTTATATTTATATATTTAAAATAATTATGATTTTTTTTTAGCAAAATCGTACTGAAAATGAATTTCAAGATCAATATCTTTTATTAGACTCAGCAAGCCATGGCCAACAAGTCATTCTGAAAGATTCCATGCACGGGGTGTACCTGGACGCAATCCTGGCGGTGTATCCGGACGCAATGTTCATCCACACCTACCGCAATCCATGCAAATCGATCGCCTCCTTTTGCTCATTGGTGCAGCACTTTACTCCTTGTGCCTACGGCCTCAAAGATATAGGTAGGGGCGTGTCCTTAAACCTCATCTTAACTTTTGAAATATACTATCTTTTGAAATATATTAACCTTTGAAATAATAATCTGATGAGATATTTTTCTGACCTGTATGATTATAAAATCGTTTTAGTTTTTGTTGTTTGTTTTTTTCATGATCCTGTCAATGTTTGGTTGAGTTTGGTTAAGTTTGGCTAAGTTGTATTGTCAATGATTTCTGATAGCGTTTTATTTGTCTGTGCTCATGTTTTAGGAAGAGACATTCTAGACAACCCCCTGTTTCATGCTGGGAACGAAATCCTAGAATTCAGAAAGAACCACCCTGATCAAGAACACAGATTCGTCGATATTGACTACGAACATCTAGTTAGATCGCCCATGGATTCAGTGCGACAGATTTATGATAAGCTTGGGCTCGATCTCAGCGAGCAAGCCGAAGCGAAGATGAAGGAGTACTTAAAAGAAAATCCCCAAAATAAATATGGTCGTCACCATTACGACTTGGAGCCGTACGGGTTGAAGGAGGAGGAAATATTTGAGAAATTTCGAGATTATATTGAATATTTTAACATTCAGTGCTAATTTCATAACATGAAAATATATAACTTACCTTAATTAGAAATATTTAGAACAATAACACCGAAAAAACTTCGAAAAGCGACGAACTATTAATAGGATTGCACGTAGCAGCTCACAATGGCGAGATAATGCGATGGCACGAGATAAAGTTGACGCATGCTTGCACGGCTTGCCGAGAGGTTAACTTTAAATCATAAGGAAACATTTTTGTTTCTTACATCATGTTGACTAAATATAACAAGAATCAAATTACGCTTGTTTGAGCTTCAACCTTTTCGAAAAGCTGTCGGACTTGGGTCACTAGTATAGCGTTAATTTGGAACACTGTTAAATACGTAAAAAATGGACAAATAAAGCAAATATGTGAGGCTCGAAACTTGCATTAGACGTGAAGACTGGGTGCCCATACCTAGACCAATCTTCTTGTCAAAGCTAAAAGCTTTTAAAAGGCATATAACGGTTGAACAATTGAATAAAGGACTAAATTGTCAGGGGAGTCCTGACCCCCCCCCCCCTTTTCGGTTTCTGGAAAAAAATCACACCAATATTCCACTCTTGATATTAGAATTTTCAAGAGCTGAATCATAGTTCTAAACGGCACCAAATTGGCACTGTTTGCCCTGCAAAACACCGAACCCCACACCAAAGGGGCCGTATTCTTGAAAAACTGACCCCCCCCTCCAAACAATCCTAGATCCGCCCCTGTATATGGCAGTTGTAAGGTGTGTTATCAGTGTAGGCATGTTAAGATATTTAAGATTTCAAAAACCGAGCACCCCGCCCCCCTAGCCTCTGTCCCACCCTGGTGTTTACAAACTGAACAAATTCTCCTTCTACTCCTTCCAATATATTATAACAGCCCTCCACCTCCATCCACCTATACAAACGGGTGCACGCACGCAGACACATTTATAAAAGATCCCTAAGCATATGCAAATCAATTACGTAAGATATAAAATACAAGCCGTAGTATGGGAGACACGTATTGAAAAACCGGTTCACTGAAAAAAAAGTTATCTATGCAAGTTTGTAGGACAACAGAGGCGAGATCTTATAATATTAAATAGGGCGTTTGAGGTGAGAAGCCAGGTTAGGCAGCGCCATTTTCCGTAGCTTTCAGTTGCTTTGATAATTCATAGTTCACTCAATCAACGTGTTCCAACTAGTAAGGACGGTTACCTGAGTTTTTTTTTTCTTCAGTGACAGCAAAAATATATAACAGGTATATTACACCCAGGTTTGTGACCATAGTGAGTGTTAACTATGGCACTACTGAGCGATATTTCTATCTTCTGCTACTACTGCTGCTACTGCGCCATTGTTCTTCTCGACTGGTTACTTTGTGTCGTCCTTGGGCGTCGCTTTACGCCGCTCACAGAGGACAGCCTGCTCCGAGATCTGTCTCTTAACGACCGGCGTCTGCTGTTCTCTGACAGTCTTACTGGGCGCTGGTGGTACCAGGGGTTCACTCAACTGTTGAAATGTTACCGTGAAGATGACACCTGCTCGGGGGCTGGGAGGCTGTGGATAGAAAAGAGATGGAAGGGGATAATAAAGAACAGGCTTGCTATATCAAAACGACTACCTACTGTGGATTTGACCAAGGTAAGTGTATAAGGAGTCTGTTCAGGAAGTTTCCACTCCTACCATTATATGAAGTTTTTAAATTGACCCAGAACTTAGTCTGCACGATGCTTCATAAAGGTGTTTCATGACTCATTGTTTTGTATGCAAACCATGCACTTCGCTCATTGAAATGCAATCTTTTTCTGTCATTTAAACAGTAAATGATTTTGACAAGACACAATCACAATTAATTAAATCTGCAATTAATAGCAATTCAACCGCTTAAGATTTCAACATATACATTGCCGTTTTTAAGTGCCCTATCAAGGAGCCTATTTTCATCATTGGGCCAGCGCGGACGGGGACAACGTTTCTGCAAGACTTGCTGTACCAGGACCCGCGGAACACTTCGCCACTCTTCTACGAGTTGATGTGCCCCGTGGAGCAGAACACAGACGCTGTGAACGCTGGAAAAGATCCGCGTGTTCTAATGTCCAGTTTCTTTCTAGGTATGTGATTGATGTATTTATTTAACTAAGTAGAAACTACAAAAACCCAACAATTGTTTTTGGTATTTCAAATCTACAAGGATTGTCCTTTTAAGTGTCTTCAGTGGACCGTTATAACGTGTGAATTTGCGGACTTAGCCGAGGCAATGGAACACCAGTTGTGTGTTTTTGTGAACCATCCCTTAGACTCTTTGTCTTTCTCACACTCGTACGGCCGCGCAGGCACACGCATGCACTCACACACACACACACACACACACACACGCAGAGAGAGGGAGAGATAAAGATAGAGGGGAGGGAAGAAAGAGTTATCAAATTATTTATTTCTTTAAAATTCAGATGCCGCATACAGTCGTAATCTACTGTTTAAAAACATCCACTACGTCCAGTCCAAGAGTCCTCACGAGTGTTTCCCTCTGTTCGACAGTATGGGGATATTTAAGTCGCATCAAAGGATGATCGGTAACAGTGGACCATACAGAGACTGGGTGCGCGCTCGAACCAAGGAAGAGATGTTGGAAGCCTATCGTTTCCATCGTTTGCAACTTCAGCTTATTCTTTTAGCAAGAAGTAAGTGTAGGAATGTGGTCGTTATAGACAAAAATAAATAAATAAATGATTGACTTTTTTCGCCCTTCCTTTTGAAAATGTATGGTCAGAACATGATAGAATTTAATGATCTCAAATTTTAAAAATTTTCCTTGGTTGTTTTTGTTGTATTTTTTATAAAGAAATTTTATGCATATTTATATCTATATAAATGTTCATATATTTAAAGGTTTTTTATTTTTTTAGCAAAATCGTATTGAAAACGTATTTCAACACCATCATCTTTTATTAGATTCAGCAAGCCATGACCAGCACGTCATTCTGAAAGATTCTATGCATGGGCTGTACCTGGACGCAATCCTGGCGGTGTATCCAGACGCAATGTTCATCCACACCTACCGCAATCCATGCAAATCGCTTGCCTCCGTGTGCTCAGTGGTGCAACATCACATCTTTTGTGCCTACGACCTCAAAGATATAGGTAGGGGCGTGTCTTTAAGCCTCTTTTTTACTTCTGAAATATACTTACATTTAATATATACTGACATTTAAAATAATAATTTGATGAGATTTTTTTCTGACCTGTAAAATTTTAAAATCGTTTTAGTTTTTGTTGTTTGTTGGTTTCATGATCCTGTCAATGTACATAACGTTTGGTTAAGTTGCATTGTCAATGATTTCTGATTGCGTTTTAGTTGTCTGTGTTCATATTTTAGGAAGAGACGTCCTAGACGACCCCCTGTTTCACGCGGGGAACGAAATCCTAGAATTCAGAAAGAACCACCCTGATCAAGAACACAGATTCGTCGATATAGACTACGAACATCTTGTGAGAGCGCCCTTAGATACGGTGAGACAGATTTATGATAAGTTTGGGATCGATCTCAGCGAGCAAGCTGAAGCGAAGATGAAGGAGTATATAAAAGAAAATCCCCAAAATAAATATGGCCGTCACCATTACGACTTGGAGACGTACGGGTTGAAGGAGGAGGAAATATTTGAGAAATTTCGAGATTATATTGAATATTTTAACATTCAGTGCTAACTTCATAACATGAAAATATATAACCTACTGAAATGTCTTAATTAGAAATATTTAGAACAATAACACAGTAAAAACTGCGAAAAGCATCAAACTATTAATAGGATTGCACATAGCAGCTCACAATGGCGAGATAAGGCGTTGGCACTAGATAAAGTTGACGCATGCTTACACGGCTTGCCGAGAGGTAAAATTTAAATCATAAGGAAACATTTTCGTTTCTTTTTTCATTTTGACTGAATGTAACAAGATTCAAATTACGCTTGTTTGAGCTTCAACCTTTTCGAAAAGCTGTCGGACCTGGGTCACTAGTATAGCGTTTATTTGGAGCACTGTTAAATACGTAAAAAATGGACAAATAAAGCAAATAGTGAGGCTCGAAACTTGCGTTAGTCGTGAAGACTGGGCGCCCATACCTAGACCAATCTTGTTGTCAAAGCTAAAAGCTTTTAAAAGGCATATAACGGTTGAACAATTGATTAAAATTCTAAATTATCAGGGGAGTCCTGACGACCCCCCCCCCCCTTTTCGGTTTCTGGGAAAAAAAATCACACCAATATTCCACTCTAGATATTAGAATTTTCAAGAGCTGAATCATAGTTCTAAACGGCACCAAATTGGCACTGTTTGCCCTGCAAAACACCGAACCCCACACCAAAGGGGCAAGGGTCGGATTCGCATCCCAGCCCTTTCGTTCTTAAAAAACTGTCCCCCCACCCCCCGTTCCAATAATCCTGGATCCGCCCCTGTATATGGCAGTTGTAAGGTGTGTTATCAGTGTAGGCATGTCAACATACTACTCCTTCCAATATATTTTAACAACCCTCCACCGCCATCCACCTATACACACGGGTGCACGCACGCAGACACATTTATAAAAGAACCCTAAGCATATACAGATCTATTACGTACATATATAAAATACAAGTCGCAGTATGGCCTGGTGGACACGTATTGAAAAACCGGTTCACTGAAAAAAAATAGTCTACACAGTATGTAGGGCATCAGAGGCGAGAGCCTGTCAATGATATGTGGGCGTTTTAGGTGAGAAGCCAGGTGAGGCAACGCTATTTTCCGTTGCTTTCAGTTGCTTTGCTAGTTCATAGTGCACTCATTCACTATAGTAAGGGCGGTTACCTGTGTTTTTTTTCCTCAGTGACAGCAAAAAAATATATAACAGGTAAATTACACCAAGGTTTGTGACCATAGTAAGAGTTAACTATGCCACTACTGAGTGATATTCTTATCTTCTGCCGCTACTGTGCCATCGTTCTTCTCGACTGGTTACTCCATGTCGGCCTGGGGCGTCGCTTTACGCCGCTCACAGAGGCCAGCCTGCTCCGAGATCTGTCTCTTAACGACCGACGTCTTCTGTTGTCCGACAGTCTCACTGGGCGCTGGTGGTACCAGGGGTTCACTCAAATGTTGAAATGTTACCGTGAAGATGACACCTGCTCGGTGGCTGGGAGGCTTGGAATAGAAAGGAGATTGAAGGAGGTAATAAAAAACAGACTTGCTATATCAAGACGACTTCCGACTGTGGATTTGGCCAAGGTGAGAGTTTAGAGTCTGAACATGAAGCTTCGAATCGTACCACTATACGAGGCTTAAAAATTGACCAAGAACTTAGTCTGCACGATGCTGCATAAAGGTGTTTCATTAATCATTGGACCCATTCAGATTGAGAAGAGATGAGTGCTAGCTAGGCAGCGATCTTAATATGGCGGACCTACATGAAAGGAGGACTGCTTAATCCTGTAATGGTCTCTCCGCCTCTCACACGCCTTCCCACGCGTCGTCTCTGAGGAGCACAGTAAATAAATCTTGGCTCAATTCAACCGGCCGAGATTCAACGCGTGGAAGACGTGTGAGAGGCGGAATAAACATTACAGGACTAAGCGGTCTTCCTTTCATGTAGGTCCGCCATATTTTGGTCGCGGTCTAGCTAGCACTCGGCTCTTCTCGATCTGAATGGTCCCATTGTTTTTTATGTAAACCATGCACTTGATATTCATGTCAATTTTTGAAATGCAACCTTTTTTCTGTCATTTAAACAGTAAATGCAATTTTGACAAGACACAATCACAATAACTTGAATCCGCAATTAATAGCAATTCAACCGCTTAAGATTTCAACATGTACATTGCCGTTTTTAAGTGCCCTGTCAAGGAGCCTATTTTCATCATTGGGCCAATGCGGACGGGAACAACGTTTCTGCAGAACTTGCTGTACCAGGACCCGCGGAACACTACGCCACTCTTTTACGAGTTGATGTGCCCCGTGGAGGAGAACACAGACGCTGTGAAGGCTGGGAAAGATCCGCGTGTTCTCATGCTCAGTTCCTTACTAGGTATATAATTGATGGATTTATTTTTATTAGTTGAAACTACAAAAACCCAACAATTTTTTTGGTATTACAAAACTTTCCCCAGTGAAAAAGTGTCTCATTTAACGTTCCCTTACGGTTCTCATTCCATTCTAATGTTGTTCTGTTCTGTTGGCAATGGATCACCAGTTGTATGTTTTTTTAGAACCATCCCTTAGACCCTTTCTCTTTCTCACACTCACACGCACGCACACACGCACAAACACACACACACACACACACACACACACACACACACGGAGAGAGAAAGAGAGACAGACAGAGAGGGAGAGAGAGGAGGAGGGGAAAGACACTGCTCAAATTATTTATTTCTTTAAAATTCAGATCCCGCATACAGACGTAAGCGACTGCTTAAAAACCATCACTACGTCCAGGCCAAGAGTCCTCACGAGTGTCTCCATTTGTTCAACAATATGGGAATATTTAAGTTTTACCAAGGGGTAAGCAGTAACACTGGGCCATATAGAGACTGGGTGCGCGCTCGAACCAAGGAAGAGATGGTGGAAGCCTATCGTTTCCATCGTTTACAACTTCAGCTCATTCTTTTAGCGAGAAGTAGGTGTAGGAATGTGGTCGTTATAGACAAAAATAAATAAACAAATAAATGAAAATATGAAGGATTTACTTTTCAAATTTTAGTTTCAGAACATTATAGAATTTAATGAACTAATTTTCCTTGGATTTCTTTTGTCGTATTGATATAAAGAAATTCTATGCATATTTATATTTAACTTTATATTAATATTTAAAATTACTTTGATTTTTGAGCAAAATCGCTTTGAAAATAATTTCAACTTCAGCATCTTTTATTAGACTCAGCAAGCCATGACCAACACGTCATTCTAAAAGATTCCATGCATGGCCTGTACCTGGACGCAATCCTGGCGGTGTATCCGGACGCAATGTTCATTCACACCTACCGCAATCCATGCAAATCGCTCGCCTCTGTGTGCTCAATACTCCAGCAACTCACATCTTGTGCCTACGCCCTCAAAGATATAGGTAGGGGCGTGTCCTTAAGCCTTATCTTTACTTCTAAAATATGCTAACTTTAATAATCTGTTAATGATTTCTGATTGCGTTTTAGTTGTCTGTGTTCATATTTTAGGAAGAGACGTCCTAGACAATCCCCTGTTTCACGCGGGGAACGAAATCCTAGAATTCAGAAAGAACCACCCTGATCAAGAACACAGATTCGTCGATATTGACTACGAACATCTAGTTAGATCGCCCATGGATACGGTGCGACAGATTTATGATAAGTTTGGGCTCGATCTCAGCGAGCAAGCTGAAGCGAAGATGAAGGAGTATATAAAAGAAAATCCCCAAAATAAATATGGCCGTCACCATTACGACTTGGAGACGTACGGGTTGAAGGAGGAGGAAATATTTGAGAAATTTCGAGATTATATTGAATATTTTAACATTCAGTGCTAACTTCATAACAGAATAATATAAACTACTGATATGTCTTAATTAGAAACATTGTACGCGAGGAATTAGATTTTGCAGCGTTTGGGCCCACTTTACATTTCTTATGGGTACTTCTTTCAATATACATTAATTGAATCAGCAAAGAGACAAGTTTTAACCTCAAAAGTGCAGGGTGTCACCGTCATTCATGATTTCGAAACTCCTGAAAAACTTTCACGGCTATCAAACACAACTCGAGCCTCGCGCATGCGGCCTGTAACGTGATTTGGCAGATTTTCTTCTTCATATTTCTTGACTTCAAAATGTAACGCCACTGATTTCAAAGCATATTCAAAATAAGTACGTTGTACGATGTGAAATTGTCCCCACACCAAGGAGACAAGGTTCTGTTTTAAACAATCCTAGATCCGACCCTGTATGTGGCAGTCGTAAGGTGTGTTATCAGTGTAGGCACGTTAAGATATTTTAGATTTCAAAAACCGAGCACCCCGCCCCCTTCGCCTCTGTCCCAGCCTGGTGTTTTCAATCTGAACAAATTCTCGTACTACTCCTTCCAGTATATTTTAACAACCCTCCACCTCCATCCACCTATACACACGGGTGAATGCACATTTATGAAAGAACACTATGCAGATCTATTACGTAAATGTATGAAATACAAGTCGCAGTATGGCCTGGTAGACACTATTGAAAAACCGGTTCACTGAAAAAAAGTAGTCCATACAACTATGTAAGAAAACGGAGGCGAGAGTTTATAAATATTAAATAAGGCGTGTGAGGTAAGAAGCTTTCAGTTGCTTTGATAGTTCACAGTTCACTCAGTCATCGCGTTCCCACTTGTAAGGGCGGTTACCTGAGTTTTTACCTTCAGTAACAGCAAAAATATATAAGAGGTATATATGACCATAGTGAGTGTAAACCATGGCTCTACTGAGCGATATTCTAATCTTCTGTCGCTACTGTGCCATCGTTCTTCTCGACTGGTTACTCCATGTCGTCCTGGGGCGTCGCTTTACGCCGCTCACAGAGGACAGCCTGCTCCGAGATCTGTCTCTTAACGACCGGCGTCTGCTGTTGTCCGACAGTCTTACTGGGCGCTGGTGGTACCAGGGGTGCATTCAACTGTTGAAATGCTACCGTGAAGATGACACCTGCTCGGTGGCTGGAAGGCTGGGAATAGAAAGAAGATTGAAGGAGGTAATGAAGAACAGACTTGCTATATCAAGACGACTACCGACTGTGGATTTGACCAAGGTGAGTGTTTAGAGCTACCACACCTACCACTATACGAAGCTTTAAAATTAACCCAGAACTTAGTCTGCACGATGCTACATAAATGTTTTTTCATGGCTCATTGTTTTTATGTAAACCATGCACTTCATTCTCGCGTTGCTTATTGAAATGCAATATTTTTCTGACACTTAAACAGTAAAAGCAATTTTGACAAGACACAATCACAATAACTTGAATCCGCAATTAATAGCATTTCAACCACTTAGGAGTTCAACATGTACATTGCCGTTTTTAAGTGCCCTGTCAAGGAGCCTATTTTCATCATTGGGCCAGCGCGGACGGCGACAACGTTTCTGCAGAACTTGCTGTACCAGGACCCGCGGAACACTTCGCCACTCTTCTACGAGTTGATGTGCCCCGTGGAGGAGAACACAGACGCTGTGAACGCTGGGGAAGATCCGCGTGTTCTGATGTCCAGTTTCTTTCTAGGTAATATAATTGATGTATTTATTTTATGGGCGTTCAGTGGACCGTATGGACCGTAATAAGACTTTGCCGATGCAATGGATAAATGGGATTACCAGTTTTATGTTTTTGAAAACAATCTCTCATGCTCTTTCCCCTTACACACACACACACACACACACACACACACACACACACACACACACAGTCGCAGAGAGAGAGAGAGAGAAAGTGAGAGAGAGAGAGAGAGAGAGAGAGAGAGAGAGAGAGAGAGAGAGAGAGAGAGAGAGAGTGACGAGAGGGAGAGGGAGAGAGAGGGGGAAGTAAGAGAGGGTTCTCAATTTATTATTATATATATATACATGTATATATATAAATATTTCAGATGCCACGTACAAAGGTAATCCACTGCTTAAAAACATTCACTTCGTCCAGGCCATGAGTCCTCATGCGTGTCACCCTTTGCTCGACAATATGGGGATATTTAAGTTTTACCAGGGGATAAGCGGTAACGCTGGACCATACAGAGACTGGGTGCGCGCTCGAACCAAGGAAGAGATGGTGGAAGCCTATCGTTTCCATCGTTTGCAACTTCAGCTCATTCTTTTAGCGAGAAGTAGGTGTAGGAATGTGGTCGTTATAGACATGATAAAAGGATTCACCTTTATCGCCTCTCCATTTCAAAATTTAGAGTCAGAACATAATAGAATTTAATCGTTTCAAATTGTTTCCTTTTCCTTTGGTTGTTTTTGATCGCATTCAAAACAGATCTAACAGATCCGCTGATTAAATATGGCTACCACTAAAAAAGCTTGCCGCTTAATTCCCGATCAGACATTGAATAGATTCCCCATGGGATTCTTCAACAAACATTAAAATTCTGGTATTAATTAGTCATACCTGATCCGCGGATCTGTTAGTCCGCTGTTCTGAATGCGCTCTTTGTCGTATTATCATAAAGAAATTCTATTTATATTAATATTTAAATTAATATTCATATATTTAATGTTATTTTGATTTTCGGTAGAATCGCATTGAAACGCATTTCAACATCCACATCTTTTATTAGACTCAGCAGACCATGAGCAACACGTCATTCTGAAAGATTCCATTCACGGGGTGTACCTGGACGCAATCCTGGCGGTGTATCCGGACGCAATGTTTATCCACACCTACCGCAATCCATGCAAATCGCTTGCCTCCGTGTGCTCAGTGGTGCAACACTTCACCTTTTGTGCCTACGACCCCAAAGATATAGGTAGGGGCTTGTTCTTAAGCCTCTTCTTTACTTCTGAAATACGCTAACTTTTGATATATGCTAACCTTTGCAATAATAATCTGATGAGATTCTTTTCCGACCTTTAAAATTATAAAATTGTTTTAGTTTTTGTTGTTTGTTTGTTTCATGAGCCTGTTAATGTAAATAACGTATGCTTGTCTTGTCAACGATTTTTGATTGGGTTTTAGTTATCTGTTTTCATATTTTAGGAAGAGACGCACTAGACAACCCCGTATTTCACGCGGGGAACGAAATCCTAGAATTCAGAAAGAACCACCCTGATCAAGAACACAGATTCGTCGATATAGACTACGAACATCTTGTGAGAGCGCCCATAGATACAGTGAGGCAGATTTATGACAAGTTTGGGCTCGATCTCAGCGAGCAAGCTGAAGCGAAGATGAAGGAGTACTTAAAAGAAAATCCCCAAAATAAATATGGTCGTCACCATTACGACTTGGAGCCGTACGGGTTGAATGAGGAGGAAATATTTGAGAAATTTCGAGATTATATTGAATATTTTAACATTCAGTGCTAACTTCATAAAATGTAAATATATAACCTACTGAAATGTCTTAATTTTAAATATTTAGAACAAAAACACTGAAAAACGGAGAAAGGCATTGAACTATTAATAGGATTGCACATGGAAGCTCACAGTGGCGAGATAATGCGTTGGCATCAGATCAAGTGGGCGTTGACGCACGCTTACACGGTTTGCCGAGAAGTTAAATTAAATCATAAGGAAACATTTTCGTTTCTTATTTCATTTTGACTGAATATAACAAGATTCCAGTGACGCTTGCTTTAACTTCAACCTGTTCGAAAAGCTGTCGGACTTGGGTCACTCGTATATTATTGCTTTGATTTCGAACACTGTTAAATACGTAAAAAATGGACAAATAAAGCAAATATGTGAGGCTCGAAACTTGCGTTAGACGTTCAGACTGGGTGTTCATACCTAGACCAATCTAACAGGATCAATCCATCTCCGAGGGGTTTCTCACTAAATTGCTTTCAGCTTAAGCGGCTTAGATGTCTGGCACGCCTACTGAGCCTGCTAAACGATAATTTAAAATTACCCCTTGCAGCTTCAGTAGGCGTGACAGCCATCTAAGCCGTTTGAGTTGATTGCAATTTAGGGAGAATCCCCTCGGAGATAGATCGACCCACAGTTAGTACGATTGGGTCCGGTGCTTGGTGTTCTATCCGAGGACAAATCAGAAAAAGGTCATTTGAAGATTTGATACACCCCTTTATTATTTTCAATGAACAAGAGTATTTACACTTTTTACAATACACATGTACAGCCATGATAACTTTGCTTGGGAGTTGAACAGTTCTGTCCGTTTCTTTATACAGGGAGCAATATAATTAATATATACATATTTACAATTGCCAGCACCGCTGAACTAGAGAACGTCTTCATTGTGACAATGCCGCTCAAAATAGCAGAGTATTCACGTGACTTGCTGCAGTCCTAGAGCTGAAGAGGTAACTTTTTCACTCGTCACGGACTCGGCTGGCAAAACATGTTTCACTTCCCCGACATCAACCGACTTCCCCGACACGGAGCTGTTGGATCAGCCATCACCTTTGAACTGGTCAAGGTCTTGGAAGACCAATAGCTCATATTGCACTTTCACCGTTGATCACGAAAGGAGATGGCCTGAGTTCGTTTTTACGATCTGGTGAAGCACTGTGAACAAAATAAATAAATAAAATAAATCATTTTATATATTAATAAAGATTGGAATATTTTCATGAAAATTAGAGGAAGTGAATAAGAAGATTGTTTTCATTTACCATAAGATAAAAACAGTCAATGTTTCAATACTTAATATTCTTACCTGCTTAAAGCATCTTGGCAATGCTTTAACGATCCTTTTCTTGAATCTTTTCAAAAAGGATTTTCTTTTCTTGCCGATGTTGACGCTCTCCAAGTTGTCTTTACGAGCGTAATCATCTAGAACGAATAATTGTTTTCAAGTTTACTGTCTCTTCATGCTCATAAACCATGAAATTAAATTATACCAAATTTTGAAAATATGCTGTTCTGCCTCCACAGAAACCACTGGCCAATATGTGATTTGTATGACTAAGATGACATTTAAAATTAGACCCTATCTATTGCCTTTGAAAATTGGATAAGTAGATTGACGGAAAAAGAAGAAGAAGAAAAAAAAGACAGAAAATGTGTTGAAGATTCTTTACCCTACCTGGCCATATGAGGGGGTCCTCCTCAATGGTGGGTAGTTTGTTGAGGAAGAGGACCTTGGTGGCCACCTCAGGGCCGGGCAGATCCTCCAGGCGCCACCCCACCGGCCTGCCAATCATAGGGACCCAAAACATCCCGGCACACGCCGTTCCAGATGTCACATCAATCACACGGGCGAAGGCGTGTCTTGGACGGTCTAGAGGACACGCCCACTGAGGACACGCCCACATCGCCTCCTCGCTGTGATTATACCCTAAAATGGAAAAGAAGAGAAGATAATATATAAGAATGGGGGGTGTAAAAGATGTTTTATTCTAAATGTTTCACACCAATTGATAGATATCTGTCATTTTGGTTACCAAACGATGGACAGAATGAATCTAATACATTTGATATAGTTTCTTTAAATGATTCCGTAGTCTAAATGAGAAAAAATGTTATTGTCAACATGCCTCATCAAGAATATTTTGAACAAGAGTAATGAAAAAATAAATGCAATAATGAAAGGATGAGGGAATGCATTGCACTCTGGACAGTGTAGTGGGAAGGCTCAGAATAGATACTTACCACCACTTTCTACTTCTACTACAGCTTTTCCACTTTCACTGAACATTATTATAGAAAACAATTGTGAAATATCTCGATACGAAATCTGAAAAAAAAAAGAATATACCTACGTTACTAAAAGAAATATTGGTTAGAGAGTAATTACCTATCTAGGATAAGTGGTCGAAATGAAGCTGACAGACGTACATTTGTTGGAATTAAGAATTTTCCGTTTATTTTCTTTTTTTGAATCAAAGACAAACCAAACACAGCAAATCAAGTTTAACAAAAGCATGGAAAATGGCAAACTATAGTTTTTAAACAACCTTTTGTCTTTTCGATTATAAGAGTAAAAATTATGTGCTACTCACCGATTCGCAAATTGCGCAATTCTGAGTTTAGCTGGTTGCTACTCTCCCGTTCTGTTCAGTGATTGGTTCATGTCACAATGCGGCTTACGTCACAGTATACCGACGTCACAAAGTTGCAGTCGACGTCATAGTTTGGTCTCTCTAACGTACTATATTGCAATAATGATTTCCGTGATTGTTCGATCCCAGATCAAACTTTCCTTTCATTGTGCTAGTATTTATAAATCTTCTCAATGAACTTCATTTTATTGTTTCATTAACACATAAAAATACGCACAAAAATATTAATTTTACGAAATAAAATGAAACAGCCTTAATGACGAATTTATAATTATCGGAAGAAGGATGACAGCAATATTATTCGTGCGTTGTTTTAATTTTTTATATATTTTTTCACCTATTTGACATAGCCCGTGGGAGACCGCCCTGATGCCGTTACTGTATATATAAAAAAAGAAACAAGCTTAGTTCATTTCTGCAAGGAATTTTTTCATGTTACGTTCTTTAGTTTTTGGGCTAACTTAGACTGCAAAACTTGGAGAATTCTAAATCTTTGAAAACACAGTGTAGTCGTCTAAGATTTTTATAAGTGTTTGCTCAGACAGATTTTTATGTATTTCGCGTTATTTTTGTTCACAGCAGAGGTTAGTGAAGAATGTGTTAGGTGTGACCTGTGATATCAGGGATTCAGGTGTGGCACAGCTAACACAATGCGCTGATACGTTGCCTATAATGCTTTTAGGCTAATCTACAATGCATAGTGCTTGAGAAATAACCAGAAAAGCGAGGTATTTTTGAATATTTTTATTTTCTGTAACATGTGGAGTTGCTCGTTCATCCAGAAACAATGAAAATATGTACAATGCAAATATACATGCAGTAAAATCCTGCCTAGATCATATAGACATCACTTCCAATAATACCACTGTGAACTTCCACTGAGGAAATGGTTTACCAGAAATACAGAATCAGAAATTGTAATACTTTCAACACGATAGAAGAGAGAAATTGACTTTGAAGAGAAAAATGCATTTTCAGAAAGACCATATGTTTGCATCTATGAGTGAACTGCAAATATAGTTTAAGGTATTTTGTCCAAAATTCAGTACAAGCATAGTTTATTGTACAAAATAATCTGGACATGTTCGCCTGAAGACAAACACTCCACAGAAACCACTGGCCAGAAATCTATGCTTTATAAGCACCAAGGTGTTGATCTTTGCATTTTAATCTTTTTCTTCTCTTTCTTTTATTTTTTTTTATCAAAAATAAAAAAGATTATACAACAATGATATAATCTTAACATAACCATAAAAATGTTTTAAAGCATCTGTTTCATTACAAATGTGAATGCTCTTTTCCAAAAGATAAAAATGAAAAAAAGACTTTTCATTTTTAAATCTGCTTCCACCTTTTTGCTTTGAGATCAATGGACTGTGGTTTTGGTTGACTTAAAAGAAAAAAAATCTACAAAAATCTACAAATTACTAGTATTATAACAAAATGCATACTCTGCCTCATTGATCATTAAGTGTAATCTTGCACCTGCATTAGAAAAAATCATTGCAAATTTTCAGACAAAACAACTATTTGATACTCTCCATTTCTTCAGCCGAATTCAAGTATTTGGAGCAATTGTCAAGACAATGCGATACCATTAACTGTAAGCTGCTGTCCCTGCTACATAGTGCTTGTACCTTGAACATCTCTTAAAACAATTCTCAAATTTGCATTTCAGGTGAATTCAGTTTGTCACTGGAGTTAACTCTAGTGAAAAAAAAAATCTTGTTCTTACATTTGAGTATATTACTGCCTTTTTTTATGTGTTCTGTCATATAAAATCCACAAAGTATTGAAATTCTATACCACAGCAGATAGCACCTTCAAAATCAATGAGCTGCTGTCATTATGAAAATAAAATATTATAACCAGAAACTATTCAAATTTAAAATCTTACTGGCATTGTTCTGTCTAAGACTAGCAGCATTATTCCAAGCTCAAATTGCCCTAGTTACTGACTGGAAGAAGCAGCAGCAGAGGGGACACCTGTGCCTACATCAGCTGCCGGTGGGGATCCTCTTGGCTGGGAGCTGGTAGAAGTAGACACTGCTAACATCTGGTGAGCAGGAGAGGAAACTGCTGATAACCGAGTTGGAGTAGACACTGCTGACATCTGGTGAGCAGGAGAGGAAACTGCTGATAACTGAGTTGGAGTAGATACTGCTGACACCTGGCGACTAGATGTTGGCGGTAAAGGTTTGGTGAACATTTGGAGTGGCCTTCTGAACCCTTTAAAAATATAATAGAAATGATACCATAAAATGTACTTTTCACAAACAATAAAGAGACAAAGAACATGAAATATTTTGGAAAACAAGACAATGCAATAGCCATCACCCTATGAACTTTGAATGAACAACGTATTTACTATGCATTATACGTATTTACTGTGATGAACATGAAACCGACTTTGATGTCATGAGCTATGTATGGACTATCATGAATTTAGCTGAACTCCGCTGACTTGATGTACCTTTAGACTTGTTAAAAGGGACTGCGATGAGTTCACACTTGGAGAAGCCCACCTCCTTGGACAGCAGATACTCTGTGAACTGGTCTGGCCTGAACTGAATACTGCAGAACGCCTGGTAGATCTCCTCCTGAAGGTACGGAAAACAGCATTGGAAAATAATATTGAAACGTCATTTAAAATCAAAAGTTCATAAGTAGCAAAATCACTCATCTTATATCACAAATTAAAAAGGGACGTGGAGAAATATCAGGCCCGTAGCCAGGGAAGGGGGGGTTCGAAAGAACTGCCCTTTTTGTCAGAAAAAGGTCCATTCTAGGTACAATTTGATCTAGGTAAACAAAAGTTTCATTATAGAAGGTCCACTTTTTCAGTAAAAGAACTCCCCTTTAGAATTTGCTGGCTACATGCCTGAATATATTTCCTGGATAAAGGCTTTTCATCTGGATTGTCTCATTCCCTTCTGAAGATTTCTAGACAGAAATTGAATTCTTGGAGGTCAACATCTTTAACATTATCTAGCACTTGATTGAAAAAAAATTACTGCTTTTTTCATCATGTATTATGTTTCAGATTTCACCTCTGACAATGCCTGGCAAAGTGTATGATATTAATTAATAAGGACTGTTCAGATTTTACAATGTTCTTGAATGGAAGCGAATATTAAGTAACAGGTCACTTCTGGTCAAAGGTCACTACTGGGGTCAAAGGTTACTCACTGTTAATTTCTTCTTCTTTTTATAAGAGGCCCAGGACTGCGGCTCTAAGATTAGGATTCCACCGGGACGCAGCTGACGGAACATGCGTTTGAATGCACGTTTTAACCCGTCATCGCCACTGTTCAGATGCATCCACTTGGTGAGACTGAGGCCGAGGATGACGTCGTATTCTTCCCGCTGTAGATCTAGTAGGGCGTCGTTCTCGAGTACGTAGTTACCCTGGAAATATAAAAAGTTCAATGAACTTGGACATCAAAGTTTAAAACTTCAGATTCAACACAAATGCTGGCAAATGTGAAGAATTTGCAATTCAGTGCTAAGTCGCATAATACACACAATGTTTATATGAGATGAAGTTTTTTGTCTTTGTTTTCTGATGAGGTAGCTAGGGTCAAGGTTAGTTCATGTAATAGTTGTATCCATTAATAATTGCCTAAGTCAATTTTCGCAGGTAGTTTGTGCACTGAGTATAAATGAATAAAACTAAATAGTCAATAATGAAACAATTATCCACGATAACTGACCTGTTTAAACATGATATTTTGAGGAAACCTCAGAGCCTCTTCTTCAGGTAAGGGTGGTGCTGTCAGCGGACCATAACACCTAGGCATTGAGACGGGATAACTGTGAATGGAGAGAAAACTGTTAGAGTCAAGGGATAACTTTGAATAGAGAGAAAACTGTTAGAGTCAAGGGATAACTGTGAATGGAGAGAAAACTGTTAGAGTCAAGGGATAACTGTGAATGGAGAGAAAACTGTTAGAGTCAAGGGATGGCTTTAGTTAAATACACCAGGCAAGAAGCCAATGCACTGCCAAGCGCTTTGAAAATTCCTTTTGCCCATATGTGATCTAGTCCATGTTTGAACCTACTGTAAAAAAGTCAGATCATGGAGTAAGTTTATATGGGTGAACTGAAGGGACAGCATAATGACCAATATATATATATTTTTAATATAACAGGCATCAATGATTTTGAAAAACAATGCCTAGTTTAGAGTTCACATGCCAGCACACATCGGGTCCTGCTCAGTAGTAGACACAGACAATGGGCATTTCTAACATTTCATGACAGTCTCTCATTATTATTAATTCTACCAGGAACAATAAATATTGAACTTGACAACTCCCATCTTTACAGCAGGATGTTAATACAGACATTTAGAAAAAAAAGGAAATATAGGATTAAAAATTTGGAGAAAAAAGGAATTAATTTTAAAGTTTAAGTATAACAAAAATATTTTATAAAAGATGCCCTTCCAACACTCCTACACACATTGTGGCCCAACAGGTCTTTATACAAAGGCAGCAAATCACACAATATCATTACAACAAAATGCTTCTTACATTAATTTTTTCATGACCAATTTTTTGTTGCTTGTTAAAATGGAAGTATTTGCACATAATGCTTTATTACATGATATATCAATACTTTTTTTTTTGGTCAACTACCATGGTCAACTGACTAACAGGCTGCAAATATCAATTTATAAATAGTAATCCGAGAGAAAATAACCTCTATACAAGAGGCCTCACCTGCTAGCATCCAGCTCCTCCTCCAGAATAAAATTCTTAATGTTTCTCCTCGCTGCTGCAATCAGTTTAGAATCAATGTCCAATCCCACAATCCTCCTTGGTTCAAATTCTTTGGCAATTTGCAACGTCACCAGTCCTACGTTGCAGCCAATATCTAGGACATCTTTCCCCTCAAACCACTCCTTTATAAAAACTTTCAGACGGAAATCTTCCTCCATGTTCGGGTTTCTATACCCATAGTACCTGTTGTAATTCCCATGAATAAATTTGGGGTTTTTCTTGTGAAAATGTGTCCCCTGCTTGCCATCCTCTTTCTTGGGTTTGCTTTTGTGTATCTTCCCACTTCCTCCACTGCTGGAGAGTGGATCGGTCTGTTGTTTTTCACTGGGCATTGTTTCTGAGGTTAGAATACTTCGTGTAACTGTCGCACTGGCTGATGGTTTCCGACTGTGTTGCCGGCTATGTTGTGGAATCACTGGAGAAACAATTTCATCGTTAACCTTGCGCATCGCAGTTATCATTTCTTCACTGGTATCTATTGTCAAAGGTGTGGTAGCAACACTGCTACTGCTGCTTTTATCCTCTTCTTTCTTCCTTCCTTCATCTGTCTTATTCTTTTTATTTTTAACATGATGATTTCTCTTCTTTTTCTTTGCACTATTTGATTTCATCTCCCCGTCATTTTGCTCGTTCAAGTTCAGAGGGTCAGTAATATTCGGTGGAATGATAACTTCAACTTGTTCCTTGCGATGTGCTGGCGTGGGGATTGGTGACGAGACTGGAGTGTCTTGATTCAGTGCTTTGTTGACTTCCTCGTCATCACAGAGGCTGTTCAGATTCAAAGGGTCCCTGATGTTCCCTCCCAACAGGAATTTTGTCGGCAGTGGAAACTGACCAGGTGCATGCTGCTTACCACCAAGACGACTTTTTTTGGAAGTGTGACGGCTCTGCCACTCCTTCTGACTCCCCTGGCATTGACAAACAACATAAAATTATGAATGAATATGCAAATAACAATTTTTTTTTAATTGTTAGACAAATTCAGCAAGATGTCAATTAAGACATATGATTACATAGAGCAATAATAATTCTACAAAAATCTTTTCTTTTTTAACTTGCATATATCAGAGCAATGACTGCCCCCCCCCTCCCCCGTCTACTCTCAACTCAGGTCACCATGACCTTGAAACTTATTTGCGGGAGTGATTTGCTGCAGTTCAAAAATATCACACTCACAGAGTCTCAGAGAGCAAATCCATAGGCAAACAAACTTTGTTTAAAACGTGCAACTTGTAACTTTAGCAATCAGAAAGAAAAACAAAGAGTTTAACATACCAGACGTTTTCTAGCGCCCTGTGAGTGCTGCCTGTTATAAGGTCTTTGCTGCGCTGCCGAGGAAGCCACTGATCCGTGAGTACTGTTGTTGCTCAACGACGGGTGCTCCGACCCCTTTTCCTTACTCGAGATCGTCGGCGACGGCTTCGGTTTCGACGCAGGCGATCCTTCTCCGCAGGGGAACTCCCTGTGCTCATATTGTGTCCTTGTTGGCGTCTTTACTTCGACGCTCATCGCTGCTTTTTAACCGAGGAAAAAGTTTTCTAGAATCGTTTTCCAACCACGTTGTTTACATCGCTACTAGCGACCCCTGGCGGCCAGGCACCGTACAGTGAATAACCTTGGTCCACTTTCAGCAATGAAAGTTTCGAGTCAGTTTTCTCTACAATCAGCGAAGGTAATTGTCCAACTATGAGCATGTAGCACGATCCTAAAGAGAACTGTCCTGACAAAGCTTCAATCGCCGTCAGATTATAAAAATTTTGGAGATTTTTTACTCTTCGACTCGCTTCGATCAGCACACCTCGACGTACAGAGCACGTTGTGATGTGCGCACGCGCACACCGTGGAATTGTGGGATATTTTATTGACCTAGTTTTGGAATGAACGGGTTTGGTGAATTAAAGTGTTTGTTTTCTTTAAAATATTTGCTTTTGAGTTTTGTTATCGAAGAAGCATTAATAACAGAAAAAGCCATTGTATTTTTCTTTTAACAAGGTTTCCAAAATGTCTGCATCAATCTGCAGTTGTTTTTCTGTGATGGCGGGAAAAAGAAAATACCGATGCAGACGACAGTGTTCAGAAACGTTTGATCTACACTCCACATTTTATATGAAAATTTCTCTTTCAGATATTGTTGAAAATAAAGTTCTGGCTAGAAACCATGCCGTCTTTCTCCAGTTCAGAAACAGGTAAGAAACAAGTACAATATTATTATTTTTTTATTCATTCATTTATTTTATTCCAAATAAAATTCCAATTAAAATGCTGTGCAGTGATGCAAAAATTGTAAACTGAGAAAATTTAGATTATTGAATATCAGTAAGTCATAATATGCAACTGTTGGTGTAAGCACATCTTTACATTACCAAAAACAATATTTGAATGTTTAAAAAAGTATTTATTTTTTTAAAAAATTTGCATAAAAACTTCTAAAATTAACAAATCATGAAATGGATTTTAGAGCCCAAAATTGCAAAGGAGGCACACAGCAATCAAAGTTCTCACAATGACACTGGAAATGAAATGGTAAGCAAAGAAAAAATATAAAATATATAAAATGAATTGATTAATAAATAAAATAAAAATAATATAATAATAAATATTATAAATAAAAAAAATGTAAAAGAGAATTAAAATTGTACAGTTAATAATTCTAGTTATGCTGAGGAAAAATTCCACTAGATTTCAACCAATCAATAATAATCGTACATCATCAGCAATGTTATTATGATTTACAAAGAGTCAGGCAAAATTGGATGTATTTTTTTTTTTTTTTTTTTTTAGAAATTTATAGCTCTTCTTGATTTATTCAAAGTATATATGCTCCTTTTTGTGTTGTGTATTTGATGTTTGATGTTTTAGCAATGTAAGTTAGAGATTAATTTGGTTTATATTTTTAGAAAGAATTAATTAAAATGGATGAACAGGAGCACAAAGTCCTGAAGACACAAGCTGTGCCATTGAAACCCAAAATTCCGAAAGTTCCCAAGAAAATGAAACCAAAATTTCCAGCTCCAATGGTAATTAATATTGCTTGTAAAGTTTAAAATGTTTTGTTCTTGTTGCTGTTATTAATATATATATAAAATGTCTGTTTGTTTTTATAATTTTTTTAAAAAATGTAACAGATAAATAATAAAGGAATGATAACAACTAATAACAAGTAAGCTAATAATTTTGGTGGTGTTTTTTGCAGGACAAGGGAAAGGAAAACCATGCACAGCATGAAGACAAACTGACCCATAAAAAGAAACGAAAGGTATGGGAATTTTATTTATTTATCATTATTTTTATTTTTCTTTTTGTGACCCAGATGCTTTTTTATTTAGGGGTAAGTCTTTTAATAAGAAATTCGTCCTCTTTTCAGGCTCTGGTAAGTTTTTTGAATGTTCAGTCAACATCTTTTTATCTTTTTCACCTCCTCATTGCTTCATATTGAAAGTCTTGCTTTTTTTTCAGAAAAATGCAGATAAATTGAAAAAGGCCAATGCTGATGAAACAAAACCAATATCTTCAGACTGTAATGGACCTAAAAAAGCCAAAAAGGCTCAGGTACAGGTGTAATGTGATATTTGATTGCTTTTAGAAATTAAAAAAAAAAGATCAGTGACCAAAAAGCTAAACGTGTGGGACAGATACACTGCAAAAAAAAAAAAAAAAAAAAAGGCTTGGTTCGTTTTGAAAAATTGATGAATACTTTTGATTTTCTACAAAGTATGTTGGCTCCTAGGTGCTTAGTATGGCATATATTGTTATTTATTTATTTATTTATTTATTTATTTATTTATTTAACATGCAGGGTCCCCCTGCGGTGCCTAGCCGTAGTTATACAGACCAAGAATGGGAGGAGGTGTTTGAAGCAGTTCTCACCAGAGTTCTAGATAACGATGGAGAAGGCCAAAAGAAAGCAGGTACATATATTATACTATGAAGCTCAAACAATGTGGGACAGATACACTTACAATAAAAGGGGGTAAAAAACATGCAGATTAAAGAATGGGATTGGGGTAGCTCTGGATGAACATAAAAGTGGGTGATAGTTTGAGAAACATGAGCAGAATATGAGCTGGTGTTTTCAAATACTCTACTGGTACTAATCAATTTTGTGAATAGAATGATCTATTTAAGAAGTAATTGAGTAGAATTCTGTATTATTTTCAGAAGTGGAGAAAGTAATGAAAGTTGAACTGGATGATTTTGATGCACTTCTGGAGATGGCAGGTACAGCACTAGTCCTATATAAATGTCGTGTTTAAATTGTTCAGAGGTTATGATACTTCTGTATTCAAAGATGTCTTGTAAATTATACTTAGGATTTTGTAGAATAAAAGATAACTTGGTTAAGAAGTACAAAGTATATAATTATTATAAAGGTTTAATTCTCATAATTATTTTATCTGATACATCTTCTCTCCATAATGATTTCATGCATCTCACCTGGATATTAAGAGAATGTATATTGTGTAACATTATATAAGTATATATATATATATTTTTTTTTCTCTCTTTCATTTATATTTACTTACTATCCTTACTATCTTTCCATATGTATAATGTATAGTAGCTAGAGAGCCTCTAAATGTAAAAACATTTCAGTGCTCAATAAATTATTATTATTATTATTATTATAATTTTTTATGACCAGCTTTTTTTTATTACTTATTATTATTATTGATTTTAAAATAAAATGAAAAAATAAAATAAAATAAAATAAAATAAATGATATAAAAGTAAAATAGAATTAAATAAATTGAACATAATTTCAGGTGAAGACATGAGTGAATCATTTGACACCTCCAACAAACAGACTGGCCACCCTGCCAAAGTCACCCCTTCCCCAAAACTGACCAGTGGAGGAGGGAGTGGTCAGCAGCAGATGGACGTCCCAGCCCCCATACTGGACCCTGGCGAGGACAGCAATGATGTGGCCACCATGGGGGTGAGGGAGGACCTGATACATATTGATCCTGTAGGGGAGGATGAACTACTGGAGCATCAGGGAGAGGGGCTGGATGACTTTAACTTAGAACATCAGCTCAGGTGATCTTTTATTTATTCATTCATTCATTTATTTATTTATTTATTTATTTATTTATTTATTTATTTATTTATTTATTTAATTGCTAATTTTTTACAAGAACTAGTCTAAGTTGTACCAGTTATAGTATCTATTAAATTGTTCATGAGATGATCTTTTATTTATTTTTTTATTTATTTATTTATTTATTTATTTAATTGCTAATTTTTAACAAGAACTAGTCTATGTTGTGCCAGTAATAGTATCTATTAGATTGTTCATGAGATATATTGAACTGATAAAAAATTCAGTTTATCTCAATATATCAATCAGAATAATATATGTTGATGTAAAATATAATTTTTATTATCAGTGTCAATCAGCAGGCTTTTAAAGTAACTTTGAATTTTTATACATAATGAAACAGAAAGGTAGTAAAATATATTCTTAATCATTTGTTTTAACAAAATAGGAAAATTACAATACTATAATATTTTAATAAGTTAATTATTCTTCAAAAAATAATTTGTCCTTTAAGTGGCAAAACATCCAAATAAGAAAACCCTACTTTATTCATTAAATAAAATCACCCCAATCCTTACCGAATGTTAATCAGAGCTGCAGTAATGCAAGAAGTCAATGAAATCACTCCTGACTGTAGTGACAGCGAACAAAAGACAGCCGTGGTTAACATGCCAGAGAGAAAAAGGAAGAAAAATGGAAAACTTACCTCAAAGGGGAAGAAGAAAACCCTGCAACCCAAGCAGCTAGAGTACAGTCCAAATGGATTAGTTAACCCCAATGCCAAATGTAAGAATGGTAGATAAATATTTGTGTTTGTTAAAATTCTTTGATAACCAGTGCAAGTTTTAAATTTTGCGTCACATTTTCTGATTTATAATTGAATTTTTTTTTTCCGTAAAGAGAAAAGGTGCATGTCTGTCACTATAGATGCATAGACTGTCTCATAGACTTCTTTGAACTGTTAAATAAGCTCTGGGGTGTCAGCAAAATTATTTGGAGTTAAACTGTTGACAAGTATGCATTTATCTGAAACTAGTTTTTTTTTTCTTTTTTACTTTTCCACTTATTTTTTTTTTTTTTTTCAGATGAAGGAAGCAAAGCGTCACAGAAAAAGCATAAAAGGAAAAAAGTCCAAAAAGTTTCTTTGAAAGATAAGATGAGATGCAGGGAGATAGAAGAGAGAGGTATTATATGACATTTAAGATTTGAATTTATACTAAAAATTGTTGACATCAGTATACATTGTAAAAATAAAAAAATTGTACCAAAATAAATGGATTTTAAAAAATAAACTTTTGTGGGGATTTTTTTAAAATCCAATACTGGACTTAAATTTTTCTGTAGTTTATGAAGTTGCTTCTCCTTCTTGAAGATTCAGCCTGTCTACAGAGAATACAGATGATCTTTTCTTTATCTCTTTAAGTAATCTGCATGGGTACGTATTAGAAATAATATCAGGATATTTTATGATGTACATTGTCTCAGGTGTGTGGGTGCAGTGTGGTTCCAGCAGCTGTATGAAGTGGAGATATCTTCACCACATTACTGACCCCTCTCAGATACCAGACCAGTGGTTCTGTTTCTTGAATACAGGTAATTAAATTATTGCAAGAAAAATTAAAATGCTTTTCAACTGGAGTTGTATTTTAGTCCAAGAAATCATTCCTGTAAGTTGTTATACCTACTTCAGTAGTAATAATAAAATTGACAGGGTAGAATAGTCATTTCTGACAATTCATTTGGTATCAATAAAAAAAATTATTTATTGGCTAGCAGAATAATTAAAGTAACAGTAATAAAAGGAATTTATTTATTAAAAGTATTATTGATATTTCCTCATTTTAGATCCTGAGCACAATTCCTGTGACAAGGTGGAAGAAGATTATGATGAAGATGATGCTGCTTACGAGTTCACTCAGTACACAGAGGGTTCCTTAGTCTGGAGTAAGATGGATGGATATCCTTGGTAGGGGATGATCTAACAAGACACAGGGTTATAATAATAATAATAATAATAATAATAAGTTAATAATAAGTTCTTAATAATTTCTTTAAAACAGAATACCTCAGCACTGTATACAATTATAATAAAAAGTGCCTTCTGGATTTATTAGTTTTTGGGAAAATATCTAGTGCAAACAAAAACTGGAACTAATAATTCAGTTTGCTTCAACTCATTATTTAATTGGCCAGATTCTTCGTTGTTACTATATCAATACAGATACTTTCTTGTTAATTTGATTAACTCTAAACTGACAACAGCTAGATAATTATTTCAGTTTAGTTTGCAGTCCCCTGTGAAAATTTCTAAGTTATTGCAGCCCCCTTTGCAGTCTCCTGCAAAATGTTGAAGTTATTGCAGCCTCCTTTGCAGTCCCCTGCAAAATATTTAAGTTATTGCAGCCCCCTTTGCAGTCTCCTGCAAAAATGTTTAAGTTATTGCAGCCCCCTTTGCAGTCTGCCTGCTCAAGGAGACAGCACACTGGAGCCCCAGNTTTTATACAAACCTGATACTGTAACAGTAATAGGTGACTTATTTCTAATTCCAGAGCCACTATCACGTGGTATTCTTTGACACCAGGGTCTCCAGAGCCTGGATAAAAGCTGCCAGAATGTTGCCTTTCACTGGGAAAGAGGGTGTGGCAGAAATTGGGCTGGTAGGTGAAATACATGTACAATGGCTTCATGTAAATTGGACATGTGCACTTGCCTGGAAATAGAACCTTAAAAAAAGATTTTGATAGTAAAAAAAACAAACTATTGTTTCTCTTACCTTCCAAGGTTTAGAGTGTTAATATTTCGTAATTGTTTATTATTATTACTGATTAATTGATAACAAACTCATGCCATAATTTGTTAATATTAAATATTATTTATTTATTTATTTTTCAATATAATTCATTCATATATAAATATCTTTGATACTCAATTGTTCACCATCAGCCCAGGATAAAGGGTCATGACTACACCAAGGAGGTGAACAGAGCCAAGGAGATGGCACTTCAGGCTTTGGGGAAGTCTATTAAGGTAATAAGTCTGGGCATGAAAGTCTTCCCGATGTGGGGTCATTGTACAACATACTAGTATATATGGTCTTCATATAGAGCTGTGTGACTTTGGCGCTGTCCTTTTCAGAATTTTTTAAGGTTCAATTTCATAAGTCTTTTATCAGCTCTGGATGGCAGTTGCCTATAGCTGCCTATAGTGTTTGTAGTGTGCGTAGTTGTGTGCATTATTTTGAATTGTATTGGTATGATTGATCCCATTAACACGTGTCAGGATAAATATATTCATATTATTGCATGCTTTACAAGGAGGCTTTAATCCCCTTTTTCATTTACTTTAGTTAATAATATTGATATTTAATATATTATATAATTATATATATCAACAGGAGAGGCTGGCAGAGTATGGTTTTGCTGGGAGGTTTGTTGGTCACTGGGGAACAGAATCTGTCACCTGTAGTCAAGGTGTGGTTTTATCAACTCATGGTCAAAATATTTTAAAAGTTTATTTAAATTAAGTTACTACACACTGGTGGAAACAAGTGATATATACTGAGTTAATATTTTAAAGTTTTTTAACCAGTGAATCTTAATAAAACGAAAAACAAGGTGGATATTATGAATTGGAAATTAATGGTTAAATTAGTAAACAATCAAATGCACAATTCTGGCTGTAAATGCAATTAACACTAGGGATCGATGTGATGTAAAGAATTAAAATTGAATTTATAAAAACAATGACTCTACTTCTCAGATATAATATCTAAAAAGCTTTTAAATTCATATTATCTCTTATAGATTCTAGTGAAACTAAGAAAAGGAAAAGCTCTAAGAAGCGACATGGTGATGTGCCCAGGTTGGAGGACTCGGAGTTTGATGAGATGTTGGAGGGAGCACAAGATGTACTAGACAATGTGGAACAGGTGCTGGATGAATTAATGTGTAGTCAAGAGAGCTTCACAGGTGTGTATACAGTCACTGGACCAATTACAGAACCCTTTCATTGAAGTCAAGCAAATACATTAGTTTTGTATATATTCTGATCACTGTTTCTGCAAATGCTCGAAAGTTTTTTTCTATTTGATGTCTGTACATTTGCAAGATTTGCTGTCTAGTTTTATGTATTTATTTTGATCATCAGACCAGTATGAACCATTTCCTGTGACACCAAAGAAAAAGAAGAAATCAAAATCCAGCAGTGTGAAGAGCAAAAATCCTGACAGGAAGAGGTCTCACCAAGGTGGGATTTAAAAGAAGAAAATGCTCTCTTCATTTTGGGCATGCATAGCCAACATTATATAACACGACACACATAAAGCTACTCTTTATCACGCTACAATTAAACACCCATAAGAAAACACTTCAAGAAATGACAACACATGTACAGGATTGCAATTCAGAATCCAATCTCAAAACAAAAAGCTAAAACTTATTTACTTTGTGATGTTTTTCAGACTCAGCATACCCTAAGTGGATTTGTTTTGCAACTTGTTTGTAGAATTGCCCCTTTTTTTAAATAGAGCGGAATTTTGCTACCTTCCTTGAGGCTCCACAGTCTTAAGTTTGAAGTACAAAATCTATGGTATCTGTGAATTGTGTCGTTACTATAATTACTGTTATTTTGCAGATTCTGCAACAACAGTTAAGCAACAGAAAAAGAGAAAGAAGAAGAATGAACAGTCCGTCAATACACAGCTGGGATCAGGGGCTGACACAGCAAAGTCTCAGGTCAAGGAGACCAAGGTTAAACCATCTTTCAAGGCTCCCAAACCTTGCAAAGCTGCCACCGCCTTTCCAAACAAGAAAACTGCTCCAGAATTCAGCAGGAAGGATTCAGGAAAGAAAGCCTCCTCCAAGAAGGTTCCTGCAAAGAAGCCAGAGTTTGACCCTGATGTGTTCACCATGGAGGCCTCCCAGGAGGAAGAAATGGAGGAAAGCTCAACTGAGGCATGTATGGAGAAGGTTGAGACACAAGATGATGGTGATGACTACCAAATCTGCAAAACAACTGGTGCAAGTGATAATAAAAGGAAGACAGAGGAAGATGAGGCGACTGAAACCAGTACTGATGACTTAGATTGTGATGCCAAAACTAAGATGTCTGAGGAAAACACATCCAAGGTTGAAAATGATGACTCTTCCTCACTTGAGAAAACTTCCCATGCTGAAGCTAGACCTGTGAAAAATATCATGACTGAAATGCCTGTAAACACTTCCAACCAGAAAGCCTTGACTAAAACTAAAAAGAAAATTGCACACAAAACAAAAAGGCCATTCCTGAAACCTACTCTTGGAAGACAGGTAGAAAATGATGCTGTTCTAGTTCCAAATCCAACCATGGCCTCCACTGAAGAAACAGAAGGAGAATATAGGGAAGAGAAAATTGTGAAGGGAAGGAAGAAAAAGAAACGCAAGTTTGTAGCACCCTCAGGAGCCAAGTGGCCAACAAATGCTGCTGCCAAGTCTGAATCAGAAGAGAAAAGCTCTAAACACCATGAGAAAGTAGACCAGAGAGTAAAAGTTGAACCAGAAGCCACAGTCTTTGATGCGTTTGACAAAGAACCAAATGGAGAGTGTATAAAGCTACCTGCCAGCCCTGATGAGAATCCAACTCAGTTGCCTGAAGATACCAATTCACAAGAGGGATCAAAAAAGTCAAGTACATTCAATAATCCAAAAAAAGAAAATAAATCATGTAAAAATACACAGGATAATGAGTATAGTATTGACCTTGACCTAGATAATGATGACCTTGACCCCAGGATTGAGGATATGAGGATGTCAGATATCCATGTTGAGGGCCTCTATGGTCAAGTGTCAGATGTCGGTGATAAACTTGTGACCTTGACATCTCAAGGTCAGAGCGAGGGCGATGAAGGAGGGGAGTCTGACCCATTTGAAATAGAGGATTAACTCTGTATTTTTTAAAGTACTATGGGAAGTGAATATGTTTATGAACTGAGTCGTTTCAGTGGTAAAAAGCCATTGTTTACTGTGTGGATTTTTAATATTTTGTTGACTTTATAAAAAATTTTAATCTGCCAAAAGTAAGTTATTAAATTAAGACCTTTTTAGTGTTGACTTTTATTATAGTTGTACAAGTAGTCTCGGATGTATATATTGTTAAGAAAATATTTTCAGTGTTTTGGATTTTCTTATCACTATAGTGAATATAATAATATATATAATATATATAATATAGATGTCATTCAAAGTTCAAAGTTCATATAAATTTTAAGTTATTACAAAAAGTTTTATGGAATTTCCATACTCTTAACTGTTATTGAATTGTGATTTCCTTTTAAAGTTCTGTTCATAGAATATTGATATGCAACAACTTATTCTATTAGATTACGTATGTTGACTAATTTTAAATTTGTTTGTTCAAAAATAAATAGTGGTACCAGTCAGGTTTGAGCACTTTGACTTTGAACACAAAAGAAAAAGGTTTTCACTTCAACCTCAACATTTCTGTTAGGATTAATTTGCAGATAAAGTCAGACATAATCTTGGGGTGTTAGAAATTAAGCACGAAGAGATAGTACCAAACATGTTTTCAAATAAAAAGAAAAGAAATCCAGCAAGTTAATTTGAAAATTGACCTAAATTTCTGGTCAACAACCACAATTATCTTTCAAAATGATAATTTTATTACCCTTTAATACACATTAAAGGGATAATAACTCTTCGTGTGATATCTATATTTCACAATAAAAACATTGTGAACAACTCATAGAAATATAACATATTCTGTTTTACCACAAAAACGGCAGTTATAGCTATTATTCAGATATCTGAGCTTGTCTTCAGATCACGTGACCTCCATTGATGGCTGTACTCAGTTATAATCTCTTAAGAGATTTTAACAAAAAACCAAACTGTTTAGAAAAAAAACAGGGACTAACTTTGAATGTAAAAATGGATTCATTAACCATTGGTAAGTATGGAAAAATTGTTGTTTACTCCAGGAAAATTCATTTTTTGGCCAAAACGAAGAGTTATTATCCCTTTAATATTGAACCACACAACACTTGGAATTCACTTTGTCATGGAATAAGGACTTAAAATGGGAATACAGAATTAAGAGAAAACTTGATCTGTTCTTTACACTAACTAGAAATTGAAAAAGCTCAATATGTCCAGCATTATAAAATATTGTTCAAGCTCAAAATTATGCTGATATAATATTTAAATATGCCACGGTAATATTTAAGAAAAATGGATAAAATAACAAAAGCACCAATTGTTTTTATATACCACAACGCTTAACAATTTCAATCAAAATTGGATTAATTTGATCATGAAAAATACAAAAACCCATAAATTAAAATGAGAGTGAGATTCAAAATATNGACCAATTCGTTCTAAGGCTCTCATAAATTCCTGAAATATGAGGTAAGAGCCCTTTAAATTCGTTGAGAAATATGACTTGCACAGTAGCTGACCAAAATTCTAAGCAGAAACAGAAACAGGATTATTACACCGGGATCCCATACTGAAAGGTTTAACTAAGTGTTATAACAAGATTTACCCTCTAGTAATGATAATTACTACTACTACTTAAAATTAGATTGTCTCACTTTCCTAATATCTTAAATAGACAAAAATGTACTTACAGTACTGACATGAAGCCATCTCGCATGTCAAAACTTCTGAATCATCACTTTAAAGTATTACTGTTCAAACTTTTTATGATGGGGAAGGGTGGGGGGTATCAATTATTGTTGTTGAAATCAACTGAGTAATTATCATAACATTTGTATGGTTATTCAAGTATTTCTATGGTTACCGTAGACGGCGTAGAGGTATCCAGAGGTCCATTTCATCTAAAGCAGATCTACTGTACAAAGCCACAGCATTATCGCATTAAAAAATATAATATCATCATGGTCAATTAAGTTAATTACTAATTTACACATTAAACATACCTGATCTTGTCCTCCGGGTATCTTTGTGAGATACCAGTACAGTATGAAACAAGCTATATTGGATTAGGGCTTTCCCTACTAAGTATACTTTACCCAGGTGCTAAAAACATAGAAATTTCTCAACTGGCTAAGTGAATAAAATTTCAATTTTAGCCAAATTCAGTAACAATAGAGGTCATGACTTGTGTTTCATGTAAGTTAGAAATGATCCAACTTTTACCTGAATGTGAGCTCAGCATTAAGTCATACAATATCAGCATTATGATGAATCATTCTAATTCTGTCTTTTTACCCATCTATGCAAGAAAATCCACTTAGCTGGAGCACCTGTCTTATGGCAAGTCTAGCAAATTATGCTTTGTATACAAGTCCTGTGCACTGGCATAGACCTCCTGAGCTGCAACTATGGTCTTTCGTAACGTCGTTTTCGTCACTTCCACGTCGCTCATTCCTATCTTCTCCATCAGCTGTCGTTGTGTTGGCAAGGTGTGCATCGCGAGCTCGGCACCTTTCCTAATCAACCAAGGATGAAACTTACTCAGTGTTGTTCTGTAGGCGTCTACTGCCAGCCATGATACTTTATCCCCCTCCTGGGCCTGGACCAGTTTATCCAGAAAACTGGCCAGGAATTCAAGAGCTCTGTGGAGGCGAAGGAATGTTCGTGACCCTGACGCAACCTTGCTGGTTTTTGCTGTTGTTCCTTTTTCGACTTCGTAGAGGATCATTTTCTGAACTGTGGCATAGTGTTCACCTAAGAATAGTACAAAAAAATGATCATGTTTGACAAATTACTGACCACTTGTCTACACTTGCTGCTGTTTATAGTTATTTATTATGATAACAAATGCAAATAAAGGCCTTTCACATCATATAATATATCTAAATGCTACAGCTATATCAGTATATTGTGAAATGTTCCACTGTGTATTTACGCCACAGGTGTTTTAACTCATTAAGACATACCAAGCTTTGTGAAAATAAAGGCTATAACTTTTCTTGCCATTTAAGCTGCAATTCTCGATGTCAACATTAAGGCTTCTGATACCATATAAAATAAAAATAACAAAATAACATGGAAATTTGCTAACACAGTCATTCCATCTTTTAACATAGCTGAGGACACTGTCAGCATTGACATTATACAATGACGCATGCATCACAGCAGTGCCTGCAAGACATACCCTGCTCAGATTTGAGGTGGTGTTCCAGGATGTGAACTTTATCTCTGATATCACAGTTTACAAAATTGAACACTGTTCCAAGGAGGCTGTTAAAGCTGCAATTAAAAACAAAGCGAATTTAATAAAAAGATATTCTATTTGGAAGCAAAACTTACAAGAGGCAGCAGGAATAATGGGCATTTGGGAGAAAATCTAAGAACATGCAAGAGGTTAAGTTCGCCGTAAACGATAAACATCTCTTTTAAAATATATGCTAATAATTAAAAATGAAAGTGTAAACAAAGCATTCCTCATTGACAGCATGGAAAACGCTTGATCCTTGTTGCCTGCAACGTATTTTTCTGGTCTTCCCCATGCCTTGCATTTTTGCAGTCGTGCTCGAATTCTTTGAAACCACAGTGTATGTTAACATATCTCAGCGGTTTTATTGATCACCAGTCCAGTCGGAATCCCCGCCTGACGAAGCAGAGTAGGCAATGAATCGACCCATGCCGACTACTTCAACTATGGCGCTCTAAGCTTCACATCTACTTACTTTATTAGCTGGTGGTATGCCTTGATGTATTCATCCATCAAAAGCTCTCCGTCGTCGGTTTTGCATTTACAAAACGCCTCACACATAAGATCCAAGTTAAATTTCTTCTCCGCCTCAGCCATTTCCGTGTGTTCGACGCTGATGGATCGCAGATATTTGATTGGTAGAAAATATCATTTGCCGCGGTCCTAAGAAAACTGTACACACGAGAGACGAGGAGATGTGAAGTTGATGATATCCTTGTTTTATCACCGGATAATTATAATTTCATAGTAAAGAATTACATCATATATCTTCTGAAACCATGGCTGAAATCAAAGTGGTCCCACTGGGTAAATTTGGATTGATGCATGCACTAATTACAGCATGCTTTGAAATATGAAATTTAGTATGCGACTGAAACTTGAAAGTTCCAAGTTGTTTTGAAACTAAAACAAATGACGGCAGAGATTAGTTTGCGAAACAATGAATTTTTATGCAGATCTTTTATGTGAATGTAATGCAGAAATAATAATAATTTCTCTTGGATTTTTTTAAAACAAAACTTAAAATGCATTTTTACAAAAATGATATACATTATATATTTCCCTTTCTTGTTTGTTTCAGGAGCTGGGCAGGGTAAGTAGAAATGTGAATGGCAGTCAGTACATTTAAAGGCCCCTCCTTATATCCTGATAATGCGTAAAATCAAGCATCTTTGATTAATGTTAACTGAACTTCTCCCATATTATCAACATGAGAGAAAGAAAGAGAAAGAATAAGAGAGAGAGGTTTGATTTGATCTGATTTATTAAGATATTTAAAAGTAATAAAAATTCAGTAGTAATTATTCATGCACTATAAGGATAGCACAAAAAAGTTATTAATTTTTTTTCTGGATTCTTCAGAGAGATTGGATTATAAAAGTTATAAAAATACAATCATTTCAGATGTTGGCAGAAGCTGTATTATAGTTTCCCTTGGTGGCAAGAATGTCATGCTGGATTGTGGGATGCACATGGGATACAATGATGATGTAAGCAAAGTGGATTTCAGCCACCATTTGTGTTTCATATTTTGATGTTTGTTTGACTCTAAATTAATTTTGGTGTTACAATCATGTTGACAGAGAAAGCTTATCAATTACAAAATTTTGTTTCATGTGACACAGACAACATTTCTGCTGAACTTTCTATTTTTTTTTTTAATCATCCAGAGAAGGTTTCCTGACTTCACTTACATCAACAGGTCAGGGACACTTACAGAATACCTGGACTGTGTCATCATCAGGTAGGTAATTAAACATTTTGGAATGCCAAACATTTTTTTAATATTTTTGAATTTTTTGAAGAATTATATTCATATATTGTTATTATTTAAAGTACTGTGCTTCAATCCTGTTGCTGATCTCACATTGATTTCTGTTGTAAATTCCAGTCACTTTCATCTTGACCACTGTGGGGCGCTACCGTACATGTCAGAGATGGTGGGCTTTGACGGACCTATTTATATGACACAGCCCACCAAAGCTATATGCCCCATTCTGTTGGTGAGTGGCCACTGATTGAGCAGATTTTCACATCCTGATAATTACTGTATCATTTTTTCTAAATGCTGAATGTAAGGTATGCTGGCTTAAATACAGAAAACATTTGATTACAAACAAAAAATATGTCCTTATGTTTTAGCATTTATAAAGAAAATTTTGTTAGTTTGTTTAACTGAGAGAAATAGGTTCTTATTGTTATAATAAAATTTAGTTTAACGCATATCTGAAATATGATTTCGTTTTTTTTTCAGGAAGACTACAGAAAGATAACTGTGGACAGAAAAGGAGAACAAAACTTTTTTACTTCAGAAATGATCAAGAATTGCATGAAAAAAGTGGTGCCTGTTAATTTACATCAAACAGTGCAGGTAAATATTAAATATTGTGTTAAATCTCAGTAAGATTGAAGTCGTATGGTTGGGATGCTAGTGACGACCTCTGGTGACATGTAGAGCAATTCTGTGCCTTTGATCATTGCACATGTGGTGTGGGATTACTCCAGAAGAACTAACAATCAATTTGTATTTCCAGCTAGATGATGAACTGGATATCAAAGTTCAAGTTATTCATTTTAGGATAGTAATTTGTTGCCATATTGTGCTGCCACCTATTGTTTATTTTCAGGTGGATGATGAACTGGAGATCAAAGCGTACTATGCTGGTCATGTACTTGGTGCGGCCATGTTCCGTATCACAGTGGGCTCACAATCAGTGGTTTATACTGTAAGTATTATGTGAAGTATTCTTACGAGGAATATTGGTTCATTCCCATTAGCAGTCTGAGAGTGGATTTGCCATCTACAAGTTGTGTTGTAATTTTATGGAATTTTTTGAAAAAAATCTATCAGTTACTGTTAGTTTTTGCCCAACAGAGTATTGATCTTTTTGTCACTTGTTAGCAAGTTCAGATGTTCATTTAGGTGAAACATCTTTTTATCTTCTACTGAATTTTTTTCTGTCAGCTTTCTTTTCATTTTGTAATCTTAAAAAAAAAATTAATTTTTTTGTATCCTGCTGTGACGTTTTATCAAACTGTGTAGTAAAGTTCAAATCTGCTCTGCCCCAGGGGGACTACAACATGACACCTGATCGTCACCTGGGTGCCGCCTGGATTGACAAATGTCGTCCTGACCTTCTGATCACAGAGTCCACTTATGCCACCACAATACGAGACTCCAAGAGGTGCCGAGAGAGAGATTTTCTCAAGAAGGTCCATGATTGTGTTGATAAAGGTGGAAAGGTGGGTTAATTTATATCAGGGATGCTAGTCTTCCGGTTTTTACCGGAATTCCGTTTTTTNGTTTTAATTAAGAATAAATAAATAATAATAAAGAAGGTTTTTAATGAATGAAAACGAATAATAAATTTTCTTTTTAAAAGAAAGTAACATATTCAGTTTTAAACCATTGAGTTTGTTTCAACAATGGTCTCTAGCTAGGGAGGGGTGGAAAATCCCCTTGAGGCCACATATAACACTATAAATACAAAGGGAACCCCCTTACAATGAATTAAGGCAAAATAAATGTTTTTGTACGGAAAGTCCAATGGATTTGCTTTTTAATACTTACAATCAACAGAATATTTTTAATATAAATTTTCAAAAAGACACCAGAGAGAAAATTTTAAAAAATCAATCAGACGGTAATAGACACTGGCAAGCTTTGTCAATTTCACCAACTTGTTTATTTCAAACAGCGTTGCGCGCAGAGGTTTGTGGGTAATATGAGGGTCCAACTTGCCCCGAGTCAAGGGGGCCAACTAACCCCGGGTGCACATTATTTATTTTAAAGGATGGTAGCCATTTATGGTGCTAGCATGAGCAACGATGATACATCTCTGTGAAACTTGAAACAATGAGCTTCATTTTGATGCCCTATACATATCTTATATTCGATCAATAGCCTATAAAAATAGAGTTTTAAATCTCTTGAACAAAATTACTTTAAGGTGCAAAAATCGTTTATTTCGACTCACCGCTTAAGTAAAACTTTTTAACGTCCGACACTTCCTTAGCATTGTAGGCAACGGTCACTTTGCAAGAGTATGTGGCCAATTTTTTTACCTCGTAGTTACTTTTTCATAAATTTACAGGGGGGCCAACTTACCCCGGGGTCCAACTAGCCCCGGTCTCCCCTACCATAATGAATCTCTTAATATTTTAAAATGTTTAGTTCCCTTCACTTGGCGGTGATCTGCGCTCTTGGAGCCGTTCTGTAGATTGGTTTCATTAGGCCTATACATTTTCATCAGGCCAATATAAATAGTTTTCATTAATAAAAAATAATTAGATTAGAAGGGACAACATAATCATCATAATCATTACCTTCAAAAAACTATATTACGAGGAAAACATTGTGATTTGATAGCTTTATCCGTTATTTCAAAATCTATCACATGTTTGTTTTGTTTCAGGTACCCATTGTGCGTGGAAGCCCTTTAATGACCCATCGCATTACTAACGCCAACCCCAACATAAGAGCGTTCTGTCTGTACTCCGTGAATGGGCAGCAGGTGCCAATTAGACCACCTTGTCCAACAGAGCCATCTGGTGAGCATTAGCTGGACAATGTGTGTTGTTTTTCACTTTACGTTCATTGGATAGAGTATTTGAAAGTTCGAATACCCATGTAGATGTTTTATTATGCCAAACAACTACCTATTGTGTGAAGTCAATTTGGTTAACATTGACAGTTTTTCCAGATGTCGTTATCACTATATACTTTTAGGCCTATTGTTACAGTTTTTGCGACAAACGGCTTGTAAAGAGGAAATAATCGGTTGTCACACAAGCGGTCTTAAACTCTATTTCTAGAATTACATAATTGGTTAAACACTTGCAGTAAAGTCTACATGTTTATTGGAACTAATTTTCAGAAGTATTAGCATAGAAAAATTCATAAGATTTATCTACGAACTTATACAATACTTATATAAACTCTTCCTCTCAGCCGCCGATGGTGGTGAAGGGTTTCTAGAGGGAACATGTGACAAAGGAGAATTGGTCATACTGTTGCATTCCACCAAGCCGCTAGATGTCTCCCTTGTACAGTGGGCGGGAGCACCTTCGAGCCAATGGCATAACAGTCATAACATGCAGAATTGTATGAGCTCCACATGCAGTTTAGCCAACGGAAATCGCACCGTCACTATCCGCACTGGTTTATCAAATGGTGAGTATACATGTCAAAAATAGCCGTATCCTTTGGTCTTCTTTAGTGTCGACCAGTAAATAAACCTGGTGTCATGTACTATCCCCCTCCCCCCTCCCATGATAGATAGTCCGCTTTCAATATATTTATACACTTTAGTCCCGTCCTAAATTTGGGTCCACTAACGTCACGCTAACCATAACCTGTACAAATCTTTGGTGGGGTGGACTCTCATTTACACAGACCCTCAGTTTCTTAACATTGCTTATGTTATGTGTGTAACTAGGAGATGTAACCAGGTCTACCACAACTCTCAGAACAACATAACCATCAAACACCTTCCCCCTCCAATCCCAGCCCTTGCACTTTCGGACCGAGGGTATTAAAAAGGAGACACGGCACTTTCTGCCCCCAGATCATTATTTTAACCGTAAGAATAAGGTATAGGCGTTAAGAATTATATATCAAGGGTGTGATTTTCCGTTATGGCGTATGACAAAATGTAGCTATTGGTTCAAAACAATCAGTCAGAAAAATGCCAAAATCAGGGATAAAGCATTAGCATTATCATTATTTCAGGTGCATTCAGTTTTGCTGTGAATGTTATATATCATTACGTCCTTCCAAATGATTGGATAAACCATCCAGAGGTGAAAACGTGCACGTCCTCAGGAACCAGTGCTAAAAGACGACGAAGAGACACTAGCAACACTTTGCCCTCTTCCACGAAATTCGTTCTCGAAGTAGATGAACCAAGAGGGCGGATAAAGAAACAGACACGCAAATTTGTTCTGTATTTTTCAACGGCAATGACACCCAAAGTAGAAACCAACGGCGATCTGACTTTTTCACCTCACACCGGAGGCAAGTTCACCGGTATAATGCAGTTGGCTTATAGCGGGGTCTCTCCAAGAGGAAACCTCGCTGTGGCTGATTTTCTTGACAGGTATGCTGGTACCTATGCATACAAACCCGAGACCAAATACTGTGTGAAGGGAGATAAGGGTTACATCAGTTTCGACTGGAACAAACAAACCGTAAAGGGGATCTCTGGCAGCGGACAGCTCCTGATGGTTGTTATGCCGCATCACGTGAGTGTACACTGTAATAAAGGTTGTTCTGGCAAGTCAACTGATTCAAGCAATGGCTCTGTGGCCTGAAATACAAAATAATTTAAAAGAATTCGTGACATTGGATTTGAAAGACATTGTACGTCCTTCACCTGAACGTCTTTATTTTCAAATTTGACATATTTTACTGCCTTTTTAAATTGAAGATAATGCAGTATGATACCCGATAAGCAATTGTTAAGAGATGCCTGAATCAACGTCAACTTCTCAGTTAAAGAAAAAAGACTCAAAAGAGGCGTCTTCTTTGTTTAAAAATGAAATCAAATTAGAGATAATATACCGAAATTGGTTTCCATTCCAATGAAATTCGCGTCAGGTAACTGCCGCATTTTTCTTAGGCTTATTTACCATATGCTCTTTCATTCCAGGAACAACTGTTGAAAGGGCAAGGCGGTTTCATAACGGGTACCCCATATGGGTTCAAGGCCCTGGCGGCAGACAGCTGGTTGCAGGAGTTAGACCTTCCCGATGGCAGTATGGAACCTGATATGACTGCTGTGCAAAAGATAAAACAAAATGCCCAACAACATCAGGTAAAATGTTTAGTATACCAGAAACAATTTATATAAATAAATTTTTGAACAATCGTAATATCTTACTGTTATAAATTTTGACAACCATCCTAATAATGTCAATTGAATTATCTTATAGCGTATATAAAAGCCCATAGAATTATTAAAAATGAAATCTAATTTAAAGTGATTTCATCCAAAAAAAGGAAACTGTTCTGTGCATTGCGGTCTAAATGTGAGCCGTGCCTCAGTCAAAACCGGCTGTGCGTCTATAACGGCCTGTTTGCGTCCAAATCTTGTGCAGAATCTTACGTTCCACGCAACTCCTTGTCGCAAGCAACGAAAGAGCAAGTGCCCCTTACGGGTTGAGTAGGACGCACGTCCTCACAACTAAAAAAGTTCAAAGTGAACCTGGGCCGGGAGTGCGTCACACGCCAGGAGTATAAAAGGAGTGCTCACGGCGCACGCTAGCGTTTCGCCAGTGATCGTCGATTGCAACTCGCAGGGCAGACTTAAGCCTCGGTCACAACCGGCCGTACGGGCTCTTACGGGCTGTTTGCGTCCAAATTTTGCGCAGAATCTCACGTCCCACGCAAGTCCTTCTTACGCAATTTAGAGTTCGTAGACAGCCCGTAAGCACGTACGGAGGATGTTGGACATGTCCAAAAGATTCTACGAATAGCGTAACTTGCTCCTCTCGCCCGGAGTTGGCAAGAGAGACGCGCGTTGTGCAAGACGCACGTCGCAAGCAATGAAGGAGCAAGTGCCCTTTGCGTTTTGAGTAAGGCGCACAGCCTCACAACTAACGAACAAAGTCGAGAGAACACTGGGAATGCGTCGCACGTGCGTCACCCCCACGCCTGGTGTACGCTCGTGTCTTTACAATGAACGTCGACTGTGTAACGTGTACAACAATTTTCAAAATTTTCAAATTTTTGCTCAATTTAGTGTCTAATATGCCTCCAAATGGCAAGAGAAAGAAGCTTACATAGTAGAAAAAAGGAGGAAGAAGTAGGAAGAGGAGAACAGGAAGCAACACTGACGTACGCCGTCAGTACGTCACCACAAACGTGTGAGGCAAGTGTGAAGCAAAACTGACGCAAAGGGCACTACTTTCGCCGTGCGTTGCATTCCCTTCGTAAGTGGTGAGTGTGTGCCACGTACACAGGAAGCAAGACAAACTCATGAAATGAGTACAATTTCTACGGCAATCGCTCCTTGCAATTAGCGCCCCTGCTTTAAAGGGCATCTCATGTGGTCCTTGCGACTCGCAAGGCAGATTTTCATATACCTCTACGACCTCCACGGCCTCCGCAACACCCAAAAATCGCAGGGGACGTACGATCCTGAAATTCGTGCGTCCGATTGTGACCGAGGCTTTACGACTTTCCTACCTCTATATCTTACCTCTTCATCTTCCACCTCCACGACCATCACTGCACCCAAAATAGGCAGGGGACGCACGATCCTAAAATCAGTGCATACCTTTTGACTGAGGCTTTAGCATAGTTTTTTTACCAGTCCCAGCCAACCAACAATCGCAAATCTGTACATTTTAACCAAATCCAGGTTGAATCGTTCAAAAATTAGAACTACCCAGAAAGCTGGAGAGCGATTGTTCTTCAATATTATGTACAATTAGCTGTCACCAGTTCATTTTCGTATATTTCTCTGTTATATAAAGGACATGATGAAAGCACTGGATTCAGACGTTCGTCAACAGCCGCTTACACCCGTCTGCAAGGCTTCCAACAGTTATGGCGCTGGTAAAGCGATTGGTGCTGCTGTTCGGCTGGCTAGTATTTCAAGGGCTTTTGGAACCACACACTACAAGAGCCTGGACGTCCAAATCGAAGAGTGTCTGGAATTGTGGCTGCGAATAAAGGACGGTAGGTGTTTTTTAGAATTAAGGGAGTTCGACTTCTTTTCAATGAATATATATATTATGAGAACTGGGAGTCTGTTATATTGACACCAACTGCATTATGTATTTTTGTATGCAAGTGGTTTGCCTATATCATATTGACGTAGACTTTAGTGAATGGTTTCATTGGTATCATAAACAGTGTTTGCATGTACACAAATGCTACATACAGCAGTACCCACTCTCATCGACCGATCCCTAAATGTTTTAGAGATCTAATTATTTGTGCATGTTGTTGTTATGATCGCAGGACTAGCCAACTCCAACAAACTTCACTACGACACTGTGTGGGGAGGACTGATGGTACGTGGCGTGCCGGATGGACAGCCTATCAACCTCGGAGCTGACTTTGGATTTCCAACGTACAACGATCACCACTTTCACCTCGGGTACTTCATGTATGCTTTGGGATATTACACTAAGTATTACCCCTCTTGGGCCAAAGGTAGAGAAATAGTTTTTATTGAGACATGAGAACAACTCTTTTGGTTACTGGTATATAGATGCTTCTGATAATTGTATTTGATGCTTGTATTTGATGTTTGCCGTTTTCGTAAATGAATTGAAAAAAAAAATAAACAACTAAACTTACTGCAGGCCAAATGGCACTGTCTCCTTCATTCTGTATTATTTCATAAAGTTCAGAGTTTACTGTATTTGTTTTATCTATATGTTGAATTAGCATCCAGCCAAAAAAGTCCCTTTCTCTAAAAGGGGTGTTTTTAAGGGAATTATCTAATTATCATTATACAATTTCCAGCCAATCGAGAAAGGATCCTTTTCCTGGCCCGCGACGTTGGAAATCCTAGCTATAGAGATACACACTTCCCCATTGTACGGCACAAAGACACATTTATGGGTTTCTCCTGGGCAACTGGTGTAGGTCCAGGGACACGGCAGGAGGAATCCGCTTCTGAGGTTAGTTTCGGGGATCGGGCGCAGTTCCGGGATTTTTTAGTTAACCTTCCCCTGCACGTGGGTAATTTACTTCATTTCTTAGGAATTTCTTTGTCTACCAATTCTTACTCGATTTTTGGGAATTTCCATCTATATTTTCATCTATCATTATATTTAGATATTCTTGTTATTAAAAACATTGTAGAATACACAAGCTACAGCAGGGCTAAGCCTAGATTCCCCATGTTGTCGATCACATTGTATAAGCAATCTGGTTAGTCGTTTGATTTGGGATCGTCAATAAAAGCAGAGAATGAACAGTATTAGAGAGGTTTTTGTGTTATGTGACACAACTTACGTTCGTATGCTGCTTTGTTGTTTAATGTAGTGCTTATGGCTAAATATGTGAATGCTGCAATATTTTATGAACATGTCTGTATTTGACTTTTATACCAGGCGATCAACTGCTATCACGGCCTAGCGGCCCTGGGATTTGGCACCAAAATGGCCTCTGTGGAACAGATGGGTCGCCTTATGTTGGCACAGGAAATTGCCTCAGTTCGAGAGTATTGGCAAGTGCGCCCCCATAACTTACACCACTTCCCGCCCACTTTACAAACCTATGGCGTTGTTGGACAGATTGGAGAAGGCTCCTTTTACCTGTATACCCTTGATTGGGCATGTGACCCAAATTGGTTCCCGATGCGACACGCGTGTCTGGTTGGCATACAGTCCATTCCAATCACTGCTGTATCCAAATACTGGATGGACAAAGTGAGGGTGCCTCATTATTTCTTGCAGCTGACAAAACTGAAAAAAAAAAAGATAAATCCTTTATATGTCGTTTAAATCGTTTTAACTTTAAAGTTAAATGATTCTTTTGTCTAGTTGATTTTGTCTCTATTCTACAAAGCATTTCACAAGATATATTGATAATATATTTATCTCTGTGGCTGACATACTTAATGCATTCTTCCCAGTCTTTTTTCTTGCCTTTGTGATTGGCATTAGGGGGCTACATATTATTATCTATAATGATGTCTTCAGGACTGGGCTGTGTCTGTGAGCAAGGTATGCGGTTGGGCTTTGAATCCAACCTCCGCCCCAGGCTCCAATCTGGTCGACAAATCTAAGCTAACCCCTGTGGTAAAGGTAAGACATATTTTAATCATTTTTTGAAATATTTTCTTTCTTTAATTAGTATTTAGGGCCCTGTGAAACGTAAATGAACATAAAAAAATCCAATAATTTAGTTTTATTCAATAAGTATATAGTCACTATATAAAAGTATATGATAAAAGTAAAGAAAACACTGGGCCAACGTTTCCCCAAATGACTGATGGGTTTGAAACATGACCAATATTGCAGGCTTTTCCCGAAAGATATATTCCAAATATAAAACTCACTTTGTATTACCTGTGTTTTTTAGGGTTGGGCAGCCTTTTGTCATGCGGCCACGTCGCACGCCAGTGCCTCAGCGCAGGCAGCAGCTGCAAATTACGTGAAAAGCGTGCCCTTCAACCAACTGGTTCCCGGTACAACTACCAGCGGCACGCTGCTCTTTATTTACGGTTCTACGTGAAAATATGTAAAAATATTCCAAGTTTGCTCATATAATTTGAAAACCGATATAAATTTGCCTGTGTCTTCATACATAAAACATTTTGAAAGATTTACTGATAATAATCCGTAACTGAAGAAACTTGTAAAAGATTGTCAATTGGGTATTTTTTTCCTCTCCCCCCCCCCCACCCCCTTAGCGTGGGTGCTATGGCAGTATAGTTAAATTAACGCCCCTCTCGTATCGAGGATGTGCCATTTAAGAGAAAAGATCCACATAGACGTTCAGATGTATATAAGAGTTCTTACTACCAAGGTTTGTTCTACCAGTCAACCCAGTTTCGGGCCATACTTGAATTTAACATGTGCAGTTTGAAACTGACATTCTAAGATCTTGAACATCTTAAAATGTAGGCCTACTGTAATTTGTGTTTACTTTTGTAACATTTAAAATAAATATTTATTAAACCGATTTTCGTTTCATTCCATTCATGTCTGTTGCACTGTTCGTTTTAATACCCTCTACCAGAGCGATATATTGATTTTTCACAGATATTCACAGATATGTCTCTAGATAAATAGACAGTCATTTTGGTCTGATGTCCATCAGCAAGAAATGTCCAAAATAATAACTACGACCCTGGTAGAGGGTAACCCCCATATGGGGCGAGTAAGAGCGAGTTATGGAATTTAGACACTTGCGCTCGGTCGCAATACGCAATGCTTTCGAGTTACGAGACCCAGCTTGTTTTAAAGTTTCAGAAATTTTGTATCTAGGCAAGTATTGAGCATTGTTTTGTCTGTATCAGAATACCTTGATATAGTTTGGTCCGTTACTGAATAACTATCTGAAATCGAAATTGGGGAGATATTTAAGGAAGGAACATCAGTAAACTGTGTGGTGTACAACTACCTAAACATTGACAGTGACGTTTTATTATAAAACGTGTTTCTACCGGGAATGCCGAGTAACGGTAATATGGGGGGGGGGGGGTCGAAAATTCTTCTTTTTCTAAACCTATTGTGACAAAAAGTGATAAATCTATCTTTTTGTGTTATAACCCAAGCAATTTCCGATTCATTCCTTGCTAGTATGGAAATTTTTCGTATTCAGTAAAGAAGGTTAAAAAAAAAAAAAAAAAAAAAAAACACTTTGGATAATATTCGCACGTTATTCATACTTTAAAAAAATTAGACCTTCCTAAAGGGGTTACTAGATGCACACTTATTTTACTGGCACATTTTGCCCTCAACTTAGTATATTTTTCACAGTGCCTGTTAACGAAGGTTTTACAAATTACTGTTGTAAATTACTGTCTATGAGAGTGCAGTTTCGTCTAAAAAATACCTCTGTCCTGTCATCATATCGTCTTCAGATTCTTTAAATGGCTGAAACATTAAAAAAGCATCAAACAACTAAAAATAATGACCTGCAACAAAATATCGCACGACTTTTTCTTAATTATTAAAAGCCAGGTGACACCGCGAACGTAGCGGCAACCTATTCATTGTGGTATTTAAATTAAACATGGGCATTTTCTGAAACATCATACTCACTTCTTGATTTGTACATTAGATTGGAGAGTGTGAGCTGGCGCTGCGAGCAACAGTTAAATGGTTTAAATTTAAGTCCGTTTGTTTTATTTTATTTTTTTTTTGTCATAACAGGTGAAGTTATTTATTTATTTATTTATTTATTTGCAGTGATTTTTAAAAGTTGTAAGACTGATGTAAGTAAAATTCCACTTGGACAAACAAGTTTTTTCTCGTTAATTCTTAATAAAAAATGTTAATGTTAAATGGACCCATAAATTGAGAAATAGTGAGTGTTCTCGTGGCAGGCGTAGCAAGTCCCGAGTTCGATTTGCAAGCAGTGTCAACCACCTCACTTAAAAAAAACACAAATGGAGCTGTTACGTGCCTGGCCATGAAAACATTGATACGAGCAATTTACCTATTAGCTTGTAAGCTCTAGTGTTCGATAACTTAGGTTGTGTGATCGCCAAGGAGATGTAAATGTAAGCCAGTGACCACTCAGACTTATAACAATGTTAAAACGCATATTTTTTAAAAAAAGTGGAGTTTTCGTCTAAGGTTTGAGGCGATAAAGTAAACGTATAAATGAGAAATATTTAATTTCAATTCTTATTTGTCTTATTTATTATTTTTCCTTTTTTTCTCTCTACTCTGGCATTAGAGTACTGATAACCCAAAGTCATGAATAACGGCGTCCGTTGTTAATTATTACCGATAGCAGTATTATATGCAAAACTATTCATTTGTTTCTGCTGCCTGGTATAAGTTAATCAGGATTTTTCATATCTTTTTATTATGACAGACTGCTTCTTTCTTTCGTTTCGTAAAATCACACAAACTTGCTTTTCATTTATCAGAATAACAACTCAGTTGATTACAAAATATGTTTGAGAGTACTGAGGTGGCATTATATGCTAAGTCCAGTGTACTTTCAACTGACTCACTACAGTACATTACAAACAAAACAATCATGCTCCCTCGGGCTGCCTCGAAACTGCAGTCACCCTTCGCCCTATTATCTATAGTGGCCTTCGAGAAGTGAGAAGTTCGTGGCTACCCGTACCAGTTTAACGGACATCGGGCCTATCATAATTTTGGGGAGAAGGTATATTGCTTAGAAATTGTCATAAAATTTGGCCGTTTAATTTGGAAATCACTGCTTAGTGCTTATTACTCTTATTATAAAATAAAATAATAAACAGAATAATCAAATAAACATAAGTTAATAAAATAATATTTTATATGTATGTTAGAAAGATTTTATAATCAAGTATGAGAATCACTATTAAACGCCCCCCCCTCCCCTATGAAAACGTTGACCAGGAACGCCACCATGTGACTTTCTATCACTGAAGGTATAAAAGCGCGAAATTTTGAAATTGTGTTCATTCAACGCAGACAGATCAGGAGCAACAAGAAGGATGCCGTGTACTGCGCCCCGTATCAAGCAAAAAGGACAAAGGAGTCGACTCACATTTCTCCGAATCTTTTCAAGTCAACGTATCGCTCATCGACATCGCACACGCAGACGCCTGGACGGTGGATTCGACGTTTCTCTAAGCTGGCCAGCTAAAGTCTTCGCTTCTGTCCACGAGGAATCGTCGCCCAGGTATCTTCGCAGGAAACTTCGTCGCTTCTTCTGTTGTGGGCTATTATTGTAGTGTCGTTGCATGTATATTTCTATGCATTCCAGGTTTCTTCTAATTACAGGTCCAGGAAGCAAAGGGCAGACATAGGTAGGAAAAGTCATTAATCCGTTTTTCTTTCTGTTAACAGAACTCGATTTGGCGATTCTCGATAGAGCTTCCATTGACAACTGCAAGGAGAAGAGGGCCACATCTACGTTTCAGTGACTCCGATCAATCCTTGGTGCCAGAGAGTCCTGCCATGGTCTGTCTACGAAGTGGCTGCATTTGGGGAAGCGTCCAAGGTATGTGGTGTTTAACTGAAATGAAAAAACTTAAATGTAAGCCTGAGTGCAGAGTGCTGACATAGGTTGGAAAAGTCATTAATCCGTTTTTCTTTCTGTTAACAGAAATCGATCATGGTGATTCTCCATAGAGCTTCCACTGACAACTGCAAGGAGAAGAGGGTCACATCTACGCTTCAGCTACTCTGATCACTCTTTGGTGCCAGTGAGCCATGTCATGTCAGCCTGTCTACGAGGTGGCTGCGTTGGGGGAGCGTCCAAGGTATGTAGTTTTTAATTGTAATGGAAAAACCTTATATGTAAGCCTGACCGCAAAGTGCTGACATAGGTAGAAAAAGTCATTAATCTGTTTTTCTTTCTGTTAACAGAACTCGATATGGGGATTCTCGATAGAGCTTCCAATGACAATTGCAAGATGAAGAGGACCATATCTGCGCTTCAGCAACTCCGATCCCTTGGTGCCAGAGAGTTCCACCACGGTCTGTCTACGAGGTGGCTGCACTGGGAGAGCTTCCAGCGAGTCCTGCCATGGCCCGTCTTCGAGGTGGCTGAATTGGGGAAGCGTCCACGGCACGTGGTGTTTCACTGAGATAAAAGGTAAGCCTGACTGCAGAGTGCTTTCATACGTGGATAAGTCATTAATCCGTTTTTCTTTCTGTTAACAGACTTCGGTAATGGCGATTCTCGAGAGAGCTCCGACAATAAGAAGATTACCACAACTACGCTTCAGCGACTCCGATCCCTTGGTGCCAGAGAGTCCATCCATGGTCCGCCTACGAGGTGGCTGCATTCAGGAAGCGTCCAGCGAGTCCCACCATGGTCCGTCTACGAGGTGGCTGCATTGAAGGAGCGTCCAGCGAGTCCCGNTTGCTGCATTGGGGAAGCGTCCACGCCATGTGGTGTTTCACTGAAATGAAAGGTAAGCCTGACTGCAGAGTGCTGACATAGGTAGGAAAAATAATTAATTCGTTTTTCTTTCTGTTAACAGACCTCGGTTATGGCGATTCTCGAGAGAGCTTCCACTGACAACTACAAGAAGAGGGCCACATCTACGCTTCATCGACTCCGATCCCTTGGTGCCAGCGAGTCCCGCCATGGTCCGTCTACGAGGTGGCTGCATTGGAGGAGCGTCCAGCGAGTCCAGCCATGGTCCGTCTACGAGGTTGCTGCATTGGAGGAGCGTCCAGCGAGTCCCGACATGGTCCGTCTACGAGGTGGCTGCATTGGAGGAGCGTCCAGCGAGTCCCGCCATGGTCCGTCTACGAGGTGACTGCATTGGAGAAGCGTCCAAGGTATGTAGTGTTTAACTGAGATGAAAAAGGTAATCCGTGTTATTGGGGACAGAAATAGAGGAAATTATTTTTTTCAGTTGCAGTCTTTTCCATAAACTTTTCATATTATTGGCCATTCGGACCTCATTTTTCCCAAAAACTACTGGTATGAGTCGGGATTTACAGGTCCGAATAAAAATCTTTAAAGAAAACTGCACTGGATTGCATTTTATATTATTATTATTATTATTATTATTATTATTATTATTATTAACAAGACCTTGACATTTTTAGGATCATGATGTAACAGTTACATTAAAAATTAAATCAAATAAAAAGTTGCTTTGAATACCTTTTAAAAATCTTATGGTTATTTCAATATACAGTATTTATAGTAATTGGAAAGTGTTACCGTTTTAGAGAAAAGGAGATGAGACCCTTAAAAAT